TGTTCTTGATGCATTAGTCGGCAAGGATACATCCGATGCGGCAACACGAGATCAACCAGACCATATTGTGTCGTATGCTGCGCATCTAGATGTTAAAGTATTACAAGGTGCGCGTATCGGCGTAGTGCTTAATTTTCGTGGAGGAAATCCGGATGTTGACCGTGTTCTTGACGAAAGTGTAGAATGCTTGAAAACTAATGGGGCACAAATGATGCCAGTACAATTACCACAGATTTATGAACGCCTATGGCAAGAAGTTCTAGAACCTGTGTTGGAGGCAGAGTTCAAGGATCAATTCGAACGTTATCTATCGACTTTGGGTCCGAAACAACCTCATACTCTGGCTGAGTTCATTCAATGCAACGAATCGCAGCCGATTAACCCCGAACGTTTAACCATGCTCAAAACTAACCTAACGACTCCATTATTCAATTCATCAAAGTACACACGCATTTTATCGATTGTCATTCCACAGCTACGAACAGATTTAGAATCTATTATCAAGTCGCAACAATTGACTGCATTGATGATGCCCACCATCTGTTGTCCGGCTTCATCGCGGTTCGATCAGCAGCCAGATCCGACCTATGTATGTCATATGGACGATCCTGATATACCGAAGTATATCGCAGGCGCGATGAGCTTTCCACAGATCACTGTACCAGCGGGTATTGCTACAGGTGATCTGCCTGTAGGTATGTCGTTTCTAGGTTTGCCCTATAGTGAAAAATGTCTCATCGAACTAGCGTATGCATTTGAACAAGTGCATAACCTGCATCAGCATCTGCCACTTACAACGCCTTGAAGATATAAATTACATTGGGCACAGCATCAAGAATAAAAATTTATTGAGAATCGTAAACCGAAGATATTGCATTGTTCACGTAGAAATATTCAATAGTCGTTTCTTTTTCTTATGATTTGCAAAAAGAAAATATAACACTATATTTTTTATTTATCTATTTCCCAAGAGGGGCCTACTGAAACAAACGATATGTGCATTCTTCTCTTCTAATCTCTCAGGACACATATTTATATGAATGTGAATAGTTTGTTTCCTGTTTTTTTCATGTTTTCTGGAAAATAAGTAGTAGCAATGACTCAACTGTTTTTTATTCTAAATATCATTCATTGATCAATGTTACCAAAAATGATCTAAGATTTACGATAGCATACATGGATCCACAGAGTTTTTCGATATATACACAATTTATTTTATGTGTTTAATGGACTCCAAAGACATGAAAAAAATCATTTGAATGAGGATGTGGGCGTTGTTTAAGTGAAGAAAAGTTCACACCCACCCTCAAGATAAAGATTCAAGCGTTAACATTTTTTCTTCGATAACTATGAGTTCGGTGTCGTTAGCAAACCAAATAGAATCAGAACTCTCTTCATATAGCTTCTTTGATATTAATAAATTTTCACGAGCTAATTTAAACTCATCCATTTCTATATAGATATCTGCCAAGTCAAAATAAGCTTGAGCTATCGTAGACTTATTAGACTGGATGTTTTTTAAAGTCCAATAATTAGCGTTCTTCTTATCGACTGTCATTGAATACAGTTTTGCCACATTTTCTATCACCAATAACCGATAGTTTAGCGCTGCAGAGTAATCCTATTTAAAATCTCTGTAGATTTCCTTAACGGCTTTGTATTTGGCCCATAGACGGATATGTCGATTCGTCTCGTTTTCAAATCCATGCAGTATCGAATTATTTTCTCAAAGCTAACCAAAGCTTCGTCATAATAACCTACTAATTTCTGCATATACGCTATGCCTGTATATAACTCTATGACTTTTTTATTCGCAGGATTACAGAATTTAAGCGTTTCTTGCAATTCCAGGTTTCGATACTTGAGTATTTCCTTTGTTTCATCACTGACTAGGTGATCGTCGTATGCTTCATTTTCTTTGTCACTGAGGGTGTGGGTGGGTGTGAGGTGAATGTGAGTGTGGTTGTGGATGTCAGTGAGGGTGTGAGCGTAGGGTGGTGTGTGGATCACATTAAGAGATGAATACTGCACCTACACTCATACTTTTACAATACCCGTTGTCCACATTGACACCTACCTACATGGGCTTTAATTTGAAACGCCCGGATCTGTATAGCTCGTCTTGGGATGTAGTTATATCGATTTTCCCGAAAGTCAGAAATGACCTATGAATCAGCTAGAAATCCGGTCTGGTACGATCTATCGAGCTAAAATGTTTAGCAGAAATGTATCTCACCAGGATCACGCATTTCTGCAAATTTCAGATTAAACGGATCATGCTATGTGGCAGATTGTTTCTAAGGGGGAGGTGGGAAACTTAAATCTTATTTCAATACCTCATTTAAACTTTGTTACTCAAATAGACTCAATTGCACATCTTGAGGTGTGGGTGTGAGTGGAAAAGAAAAAATAGAATGTTCACTCACACCCATCACGCCCACATCGTCAGATACCCTAAAGATGCAAAACAGTAAGAGGGAATGAATATTTTTTTTAGTTTCTTTCTAAAACGCAACATTATCTCAGATGTGTTTATGAAGATTTCTCTTATCTCTTTCAAACAGACAAAAAACCCTTGCAAGATGAATAATATCATTATCAGTTGGGAAAAAAACCAAGGGTTCTTACCAACTTAGACTATTCTTTTTGTTGCTCAGTCTCTCTCCGTCGATATAATAGACACTCCATTCAACTTTGCCTATAATTCGTGAGTCGATTGCCTTCTACGCATTGTTTCTTTTCGTCGAGAGAAATCCTTAGCAACATATACGTGAAAAGGATAGAATAACAACGGCTTTGCAATTAACCAAAGTCACTGCGTATTACTCGTCTTATACTCTTGTCTTTTCGCGTGTATATCTGGGTGTGGATAGATATGCAGCAAACACAATCCTCTTGGGAGTTGTGGTTTGGATTTGAATTTGAGTCAGGTACCGAAAGTTTCGATGCCTAAGTCGCAGCCAATTCTAAGCTCTAACACATACCCAACTCGTGCGGGTTTGAGTATGGGCGATTGTGTAAGGGGGTCTACTCTCTTCACTCATACCTACACCCACACCCACTAGTCGGTAGAAAAGTTACTTATTGCACAGCGAACAACGAGAAAAGTTTCAATAATGCATCTTTTATTCTTTTTTTTCTACAAAAACGATGTTTCTCTCTTCGAAAACAATGCTACTTTCAAAGTGGAGACGATATATTGATGTTCAGATGGATAAGAAAAGGTTGACTAATTGCTCCATAAGCTTTCGATATTGTTATATATCTGGGAACAACGGGCCTTTCAATCGCAAATTATCTCGTTTCTTTGTTATAAGTGTCTATTTCAATGATAAAACCACTGATATATAGTGAGTTTCATGTTGATCGAAGCTTTTGGCTGATTTTCTTCATGTTAGTGCCTTAGAGTTCTCATAGTGCTACGTTAAAATTTAGGTGGGTGTGAGTAGCAGTAATGAAATGGTTCTATATCTATATTTTTTGTTACAATCATATATGGAAGATAACAATTCTCCATGTCTTATTTAACTTCCTCTACTGGCATCAACAACATTTTATATTAAGAAGAACGTTTGATTTTAACTCGATTCTTATGCTTATAGAAGGAAAATTTATAATGATAATATTTTTAACAAAACTTTCCAACATGCAGAAAATATTCAATAAACTGATATCAATTTTACATTTAAACGGCATCTAAAATCTCTTTTCTGTATTAAGAATATCTTGTTTCTATCAGACTTGGTCTGACTAAATTGAGTCGATAGTATAGTATTCCAAGATACGGTATTCAGATTTATAAAATGAATATCACAGCTGAACCTTTACTGAATCAATCGATGCCCATTCCAGTGAAGATGACCTTTTTGAGGGTGTGAGTAGATGATGCTGAAAGGTCAATATAGTACTTACACATATTCATATACTGGAACACCCATACCCACCCATCACTTTTTGCTTTGTTTCAGATCATTTATTCATCCATCTTTGAAAGAGCATACAAACCAACAATATGGCTGAATCTAAAAATGCATCAGAATCAGATTCACCGTCGACTGAAGAATTAACTGATGCCATTGTCGATGATGATGACTCAATGAAATCAATTGGTATTGAGATAAGCAATGTTTTATCTTTGGATGATAATGAGAATAAAGACAAAATTGTTAATGATTTATTACAAAATGGTCGACAGTCATTGATTAAATATGAAGAAGATGTTATATCAAAAACGTACAAAGAAGTAATGAATGATACTGATAACAAACTGATGGAGTTATTAAAAATGTATTTTGAAAAAAAATGGGAAACACAATATGGCGCATCTAATCCATGGTTTATCTCATTTCTTGAACAATATAAAAATGGAGAAGATCATGATATTTATGAACGTGTGTTGATTCGTACAGCAGAATATGGAAATAAATATATGAAGGATTGCCCAATATTATCGATTGTTTTGCAATTTCTGTTTGAATCTATTGATGATGAATGTTTGATGGAGACAAAAGTTTTCGATGATTTGTGGTTCATAATAACAAATGATGGTTTGAAATCAATAACAAAATATTCGGATTATATTGTCAAGAAAATAATGGATGAACAATTGAAGAGTGAATCAGTATTATTTCAAGCTTTACAGGAATATTATCGTGAAAAGGTATTCTCAGTACTACAAGAAAACAATATTGCCAAGAAGGGAGATCTATATGAATTAGCACTAGTTCATGTTGTTGAAGATGGGTGGTTGACTGATTTGAAATCTCTCGAAGACAACATGACACCAAAATCTTATAAAAAATCATTGGAAAAACTTCATTCGCTTCATCAGAAGCAGAAACCAGCAGAAAAAGACAACGCAAAAGTGGCAGCTGCTGCGTCAACGTTGGATAAAAGTGATGAGACATCCGGCAAACAGCAAGGTATTTGAAACTTATTTTGAAGTTTCTTTTGAAGTTTTCTTGCTTCAAATCCCTAATCTACCATATAAGTGCTCTGATTATGATACATAAGGAACATCGATTATCAAAGCTCCGTGCTTTGGTATAAGTCACACTGAACTTTGACGCTTTCCAACTGACATAGCTCAGTATTACAATCTCATATCATCATTACTATTTTCAAAGTAATATAAAACTGAGTATTGACTCTACGTGACTTCAATATATACGTAAACAGTAAACTATCTCATTTCTTTTTGTACAAGCAAATAGAAATGTATTTGTGTGACTTAGGTCTAAGAAGCAAACTGTTATATGTTTAAATAGGCAAAGATTGACTGTAGGAGTGATTATACTTTTTATAGATCATGTATAGATGCAGCCTCAGAATAAAATTAAACTGTCCAACATTATAGTTTGCTTTTCTTATCAGCGACACATTAAAAAATTCAGTTTATTACTGAACCTTCATCCAGGTTAAGAACCTTTAAGGTTTCGTACAGTTTTATCAAGCTTAACAAAGTTTAGTTAATCACTATCCAATATTTGTTAAATTCTATAAAACGGTAAAAACCCTCGAAGGTTTCTAATCTAGAGACAAGCTCGATAACAAATCAATTTTTTAGAGTGTGGATATAAGCATTGACATGAACATATAGAGTTTAGTATATGAAAAGATGAATACATGTTAGAATATTCTTTAAAACTCCTTTGGTGAACATGCACTTGCGAAGTAATCTTTCTTATGAAAACGTTCCAGATTTTGTATTTCTCTTATTTAAATATAATCTTACTACAACGAATGTGAGCGACGTTTTTAGTCGGTGGTGTACACTGTCATTTTCAGTAACACCCAAATTCACATCCTCAATATATTGATAGCATCTGGTGCATTACTAATAATACTATAAGTTCTGATATGTTTCATTAAGATAATTTTGTATGGCCAACGGTTACATGTGATGGATGTAAAATGAAACCATTGCTTGGCAAACGCTATATTTGTAAAACATGTGGTAATTATGATTTGTGCACTCAATGTCAACAAAAAGGACATGAACACAAACTAGAACTGCTACCACAACCCATTGATGACAAAACTAAATCAGATTGTCCAGAAGACTCCAAGTCACCATTCGTAGCGCGTGCTGGTTTTACTGCAGCACAGAATGCATGTCAAATAGAAGCCTTGAAACTTCATAATACACTCAGAAAGCGACATGGTTGTCCTGCTCTTGTTCTGGACGATGATATTAATCGAAAAGCTCAAGCCTATGCGGACTATTTGGCGCGTAGCGGTCGATTCCAGCACAGTTCAGATCGAAATAGTTTAGGCGAAAACTTATATTCAGCATGGAGCTCAGCAGCAACGGAAAATACTGGATTTGGTGAGAATCTTTCAGATCAATCTTTGTCTTCTTTGAATCTTTTTTTTCCATAATATAGGTACCAAAGCTACTCAGTCATGGTACGACGAAATCAAAGATTATAACTTCAATCGACAAGGATTTTCAATGTCGACAGGCCATTTCACTCAAGTTGTTTGGAAGAGTAGTGAAAAGCTGGGTATGGGAGTAGGTTTTGCAGATGGAGGACGAAAAGTAATTGTGGTAGCACAGTATGGTCCAGCTGGCAATATGATGGGATCGTTTCCACAAAATGTCCCACCTCCACGTTAATCCTCATTTTCAAGACTACAATGATGAAATAAATTATCGAACATGAACTTACTGATTCGCTTTTACTTTTATCCTAGAGAGGCGTATCTAATTGCTTATGCTCTATCTTACTAACACTCTGATTAATAAAAATATTTGATTTCATTATGTACTTTTCTTGAAAACCAAGCGATACACTAGATTAGATTGTTTTTTTCATGGTATTTACGTTATTTATATACGTGAGGATAAGGGTGAAGGTGTGGGTATATATAAAATAGAATACCTACACTTACACATACATTTTTGGTTGAAGGGCAAAGGTAGAAGATAACAAGATAGACGGGTTTTTTCGTTTTTTAAATTGATAATAGTTTCCAACATAGACTTTTAGATAAGAAACTGAGTATATATTGACACTCATGTATGCAAGATTTTAATGCGTTGGATGTTTTATAAAAATATTTTGACTGTTATCATTTTCTTCTGAGCAAGTATCGTTACAAGACATTAATATTTTTGTTGCATATACTTCAAACAATCTAATTCAGATATATCAGCACTGAACATAAAAAGTAAGTTTTCTGTTTCATTACAAAAAAAATGTGAATGTGTAGTGAATTCGTAGTATCTTCTGCTCTTCTTGTTTATTTGAAGATAGACATAACACAAATCTCAATGGTTTGGGTTTGTGACGTTTAGTTTAACGAGTTTTATTTTGATTCAGCATTAAAACTGATTAAATAGTTTGTTTTTAACAGCGGTCTGTATCTAATTACCTTATTGTTTTCCTACACTTAATTCTTGTTCATATTCAGTGCAAATAGAAATATCCTTCAACGTTATTCGATTCGACTGAAAGGAAATAGTATTTATAACTTTTTAGGAGCTATCAAGAGATATCATAATACCAATATCTTGCATACCCACTGCGATTAGTCAGAATGCCTAAGCGTATCCAACTTGTGGATGTGAATACCATTGTCGATGTTGAATGGGAATAATACCCACACCCACTCTCGAGGCAATAGTTTCATGATATTCCCCACAAATTGTATTAACAAATATTGAATCTTCAATGCATAATAAGTTGTTTACGAAAAACCCTAAAACTGAAGAGCTCCTACAGAGATAGTTTCATAGGCTCCATATTTCAACAATAGCTTGATTGATCAAGCTCAGATTTGCTGCATATGCACATATCAAGGAATGCCGTCCTCTAAACAACTTTCAGCTCTAACAGTTGAGTCGTTGATATTCTATGGCTCGTGATCATAAGATCAAAAACCACTATTTTAGGCGCTTTTGACGGTTGATATCTTGTGTTTGGATAAAGATTGAGAGTTGAAACTGTACTGTAACTATAATTGGTAGTAATTTATCTGTACTGAAAAATTAAGCTCCATACAGCTTTCTGTTCCTTTAGAAAAGTTCTCTAGGATGTTGGTGTGTATATGAATGGATCAAGGATGACTCCACACCCACACCCACACCCTCTAGTTGCTTCGAAAATAGTTTTGTTGTTGCTTTTCCTTTTACTGTCATAAATAAATTAAAGACTTTTTGAATGAAGTGAATAAAAAATTAAAGAAATTCAAAAAAATATTATGTTGATAACATATCTCTTTCGATTTGGATCCGACGGAATGTAATCCACACGAACACATACAATATTTGCTGTTTCTGTTTCTGTTTCTGTTTATGTCCACAGATATATGGCTGCAACTAATGAAGAATTAAGCGACAGCAGTGTTACTGATGATGATGATAACGAAGAAATGCTGATGAAAGAGGAGATCGCCAACATTTTATCATTAGATGGTAATGAACATAAAGATGACATTGTTAACAGTATCTTGTATGATGGTCGACAAACATTGGTCGAATATCGAGAAGATATTATACCCAAAATCTACAAAGAAACGATGGATAACAACAATAGCCCATTGATGTTGTCATTGAAACAGCACTTCGAAAAAACGCTGCAAGCACGTTTTAGTGAAGACAGTCCATGGTTTGTGACATTTCTGCGAGAATATAAAGAGGGCGAAAATCATGATTTATACGATCGTGTCATGAGTCGCATAGTGGACGGAGGTGACTGCACGAAAAATTTTGCAATGTTATCAATACCTCTGCAGCTTCTGTTCGAAGGACTCGATGATGAATGTATGAAAGAAGGCGATGTCTTTGATCATCTATGGTCGACGATTACCAATGATGGTTTGCAATCGATCAAGAAATTCTCCGATTATATCATTAAAAGTGTTATGGATGAACAGTTGAAAAGCGGATCGACATTGTTTCGTGCGGTACGTGAATATTATCGTGATGAAGTCGTTTCATCCTTGAACCAATGCAATATTACAAACAAAAGAAATATATACGAATCAGCATTAGACGATGTTGCTGAGCATGGTTGGTTAGGGGATGTAAAATCTATCAAAGATGATATCACTCCTCGAGCGCATCGTATGTTATTGGAGGAACTACGTTCGTTTCATGAGAAAGCACAACCACCTGCAGACGACAAATCGAAAGCGATGGAAGACAATTCAGGACAGAAAACAACGTCAGATAGTAAGGACACGTCGTCAGAGAAGGCGAAAGGTAAGACACACTGAAACGAAACTTGTTTTTTGTGAGAGTGCAGTAGTCAACATTTCGAATGTGACTGTTGAAGGGACATTTTGGTTTTGTTTCCAATGCCTATTGTCACGATTTCTGATTCTTTCATTGAGAAAAGAGTGGGATAGGTTACAGATGCAGATATCACATCGATATTCGATCGCCTATAATGTTGCATACTACTTTTAATTCGAAGGTAATGAAGAGCAGAAAACGTTGTTTCATGGTATGGATGCCACAGAAAAAGAAATATTCATGCTTATCAATAAACACCGTCAACACCATGGTTTACCATCACTCGAACCATCTGTGAATCTTGCTTATGTTGCTCATACACATGCTGTCGATATAATTGAGAACAATCCAGATGTTGCTGGTGGTAATATGCATAGCTGGAGTAATAAAGGAAAATGGAAAGCCGTCAGATACACGCCTGATCACCGACAAGGACAATTAATGTGGAGTAAACCAACTGAAATAAGTAATTATAAGTTTAACGGCTTTGAAATATCATTTGGCCATTTACATCCTTTGCGAAAAACATCGTCAGTTACACCAACGGAAGCCGTAAACAGTTGGAAAAGTAGTTCAGGCCACAACGCTGTGATGATCCAGCAAGGAATATGGCAACATCCGCCAATGAAAGCGATGGGTGTTGGTGTTTATAAAGGATACGCCTGTACATGGTTTGGTCAAGAGAAGGATACATTCCCAACTCCTTCGTAAATGTTACTACTCCTATCTAATTTGAAATTTGCTTTTTTGACATGCAGTCAATCAAACAAATGCTTGTCTAATTGTCGACTATCGTCCCTTCTTTTTATCCCACATGATGAAGTGCAATTTTGATGTTGCAAATAAACTTTGCTCTCGAATATTGAATCGTTTTTTTCATATTTTTTGTATAGATATGGGTGAGTGTGCGCATGTGGGTAGGTGAGTGTGCATGTGGATGTGGATGTATGAGTATGATTTAGTATTCTATGTTCTCTTTTTTCCCCACATCTCCACCCACACCTAGACTCATAAATATTAAATCATTGACACAAGTATTATCAAATGATAAGCATCTACAGCAGATTGAATGTTAGTTATGTTTACAATTAGAGAGTGTCCCCAAAGTCGTATGAGTGATTATGAAAAATGAAGTATCACGATCATAATTTCAACTCTGTTATTGATCTTTTACTTGATTAATTTCTTTCAAACATACTTTCCGTAGTTTACCCTATTGCAAAGAAAGGAAAAGCTCATCGCTTAAAATCAAGTTGATCTTGTTCTGTCCAATCGGGTAGCAATTACAAACAACCACAGTGCACTTACACATATTTGTTTTATTGTGTAAATTGGCACTGGAAGTGTGGATGTGAGTAAAACCTAGAGATGGGTGAGTCCGAGTCAAGGCTTGCATTTTAATATTTGAAATTATTGATTCGATTGTTTAAATACATTGAATTTTATTCATTTTTTAAGAGATTATTTTTGAGTCTATATATCTAATCGTCAAAGATAATAATCTGCAACTATAGTCGAATATATTTATTCTCTCACAATTTAGTTGACTTATTTCTCAAGTGTATAAGTATCCGTAATAAAATATAATCAAATATAAAAAAGATCAGAGAATTTATAAAATATTTCTTGAAATAATCCAGAAAAAAAACACTGTTTTCCAAAAGACTTTATCAAAAGACATTCTTTCAGTGTAATATGTTTATTAATTTGCAATTTTCTTATAACAACTATTAAATTATCGATCAGGCTTGCCAATGTTTATTTCGGTCGACTTATTACCTTTATCAATTATTTTCTCTTTCCACTGAGTGCATCAATATATTCTCGTATTTCAGAAACATCTGCTCTGTTGTACTCATTTTCGCCTGTCCATATCGATAACAATCTGATCAAATTCAACTATGATATTTTGATACAATATGATTGTAGTTAACGTACCACTCGTAAATTTGTCATTCAACTTTTATTAATAACTTTTCTTTTCTTTATTATTTATAAACTTTTGATAATCTATTCTACTTTTGAAAAATATCTTGTACTATTACAAATGTCAACTATCTGTTTGATCAGTCTTTTAGAGATTGTCATATAGATACAGAAATTGTGCCATCGCAGTAATCGAGTCGAACTATTTCATAATTTTTTTTATCTATGTAATCTTAGTTTTTACTGAATTTAGGATTATTTTTAATTAGAACGCATTATTTCGATGTAAAGAGAGGATGTAGACGTAAAGACTTCATTCATTTCGCAATCACCCACATCCGATTGTTTTTCAAGAGTGAGAATAAAATACTTCGATTAAAATACAATAAATAGGAATAATTCTGAAGTATCATGAATGAAAGACAAAATAAAATAAAGTGCAATCGTTTTCATAGCTTACAAAGATATGTATGTGATTTAATTAATATTAATAAACATTAGAACTCATCATTTGTGTTTTATAGATAATTTTAAATAGTAAGATGTACCGATAAGAAGTATATGAAGCTTAATAATAGTTGTTTTTGTTAAATAAAATATAAATAATAATTGAACTCTTTCGAACTTATATAAAAAAAGATGTTATAATTAATTGATTTTTTCGTTGTTGATAAAGTTAATGAAAATTATGCATGGGTGGGGTTAAATCATTATATTTTTGTCCACAATAATAATGAGTAAATGCATCTTTTGCGATACCTTGGCCTAATGATTGAAATGATATTGCTGACGCACCTTCTATTTTCTGACCTATATAGTAAACATTCCATGGATCTTTTGCATAACCATCACTTAATACTTCAAAAGATATGGCTGATGCACCTTCTATTTTTTGACCAGCAAAATAAACTGTCCATGGATCTTTAGCATAGCCAAAAGCGAGAGGTGTGATTGTCATTATGAGTGTAAGAAAATAAGAATACTGTACCTTTAATAACGAAAATGCTTCAAATGAAATATAATCGATATTATGCAAATATTTTTTTCTTCAGTAATATAATCGATTCTCCTCCTGACGAAAATTATATACTTGCAATACTTCATTTAGTATATTATGAATAATCGTGATTAGAAAAGATTGAATAAATATGAATACAAAATCAATTCTTATACCCTGGTTTCTTAAACTGATTTCAAATAAATCCTTTGTTATCATAAGAAAAAAGTGAGCAAATATTTGATGAGATTTTCAAGTATTGTGTATTTCAATGCATATGCATTATTTGAAGAAGTAAAGAAGAATATATTTTTTTATCGTATTAAATACCATTTGAAAGACGAACAAAGAAATTTTTGTTTGATATAAAACTAAAATTGAAAAAATTTCGTTACAAATGAATTATATTACGACTGCATAAGTGATATACAATGTCGAATGTGAATCTAATGTCATCTAGTCAAACTGACAACTAATGAATATAATCCAAATGACAATTGAATTTGGAACTTTGAAAACAACTATCATAAAAATTCTTTTTCAAAAAAATGAAATGAATATAGTGAGTAAGCATTGATAGAAAATAAAAACAATGCAAGTTGAAAAGTAATTTATTATCTTGAGGGTGGGTGTGGGGTGAGGTGAGTGTGAGTATAGTAGAAGAACAGATCGATACTCACACCCATCCTGAAGATACTATTTGATGATTGGAAGAAAAATGCTTCGGTTTACACTCAATATGCTGTTTGCACGGAAATCAGTTAGACTGTTTATAGTATAATAAAAAGTAAAAATATAGTAATGTGCTTTATTATTGTACAGCATAAAAATAAACTTATCGAAGTTCTAATTCTCTTTATAGTCGAAACGGTATATTGTGCAAAGCTTGATTGCACTTACTCGTACAGGAACCAAGTGCATAAAGAACGAACAAACATATCTTCTTCTTTATTATTACAAGGCCATTTTGTAACTGAATTGATCAAGTGAGAAGTAGAATATTTTATTCATCCACTAAGTCATTTTATTTTAAAGAACTAGCTATTCATATCCATCCTGTTCAGGTACACATAGAAGTGAGAGAGAGAGATGAACAGAGGAAAATAAGAAAGAAGAATAAAGAAGATGTTGTGATACATCTTCTTTCCGATTGTGCAAGAAACAAATAAAAATGTAGAATAAAATAAGAAAAAGAAAGATGTGGATGAACAATATGATGGTCATGTGGGAAATAGAGGAGAGAAAAAAAATAGTACGAGGAGTGAGTTCATGGATAAAGTTCAAAAATGTTGAGATCAACAGCAGCAAACTTTGGCGCATGATCTTTTAACGGTGACAGTTTTCTTTCTGATGACTTTGCAACATGGTTTGCAGCAGCACACAGTTTTAGTTACACAACATTTTGGACCACAGCAGCATGAACCACAGCATGGATCACAACAGCAAGGGTCACAGCAAGAGCAACAGCAAGGATCACAGCATGAACTACAGCAAGAACCACAACCACAGCCGCAGCCACATCCGCAACCACATCCACAACCACAACCGCATCCACATCCACAACCACAGCCTGGCATATTAATAGTAATAATGTAGTGAAGAATAAAACTGGAGTAAGATGAGAACTGATTTGTGAAACTATGAGAATAGGTGTGTGTATATATATAGTGACAGAGAAGCGAACAAAATTGTTTTTATTAGACAAAAACAAGTAACTACTGTCCTCACATGACAATATTTAATATGTACATGTCATAGAAAAATATATGAAGAGACATAAGTAACTCTTTGTTACTATTCATGCAATAGAACACAAATATAAAATTCACACTTATTACTAATGTCTTTCCTTTGATTTGTTTTGGTAGTATATAGAAAATATCTAAATTTAATTTCACATTCACCTTGTGACCACAACTCTAAAAGGGTAAATGTCATTTGATACACTTTTTTTTATGAAAAACAGTGCTAATCGAAAAAAACAAAGTAAATGTTTTTGATGAAAAATATTGATACTCACGTTCTAGTACACACATACTGTAATATCATAACATAACACAAGACAAGAGAAAGCAATAAGCGAACGTTTTTGGTCAACAACTTTGTGATCGCCGACAAGAATGATGAATTCACATAGGATCTACTGTCGAAGTTAAAAATGTTTTTTTTCCATGTGAAATCATCTGTTTAACAATACTCATGAAAAGATTATTAACATTTATTTAAAAGAATGAAACAAATCAGTCACAAATCTTAAGTATTATATAAATAGAGAAAATCATGTTGATCATCTCTGTGGGTGTGAGTGTGAGTGTATTATGGTTAATATACTAATACCACACCCACACCCTCAAGAAGTTCTTTTAATAATCGAGAAATGAAGAATTTTTTTATTAATGATATGTATTAAGAGTGTGTGTAAGTGAGTGTTGGTAAGGATCATGCGCAAAAGAGAAAAGCCTATACCCACCCACACCTATCCTTTTTTTGCATGAGAAAGTATCACTGATTTCTTGTAAGCTGAACAGATTATATTTAAATGAGCGAATAAATAAAAAACAGCGCGAAACGTCTTGTCTTTTCCTCATTCTTATGCGAACTGCCCAAACTCAAAGACCACGAGCATGTGTAACAGGTAAAACTCGAAAAATGCGCTTGGTATGATAGTCAACACAGCGATGGGTACGTGCTGGTTCGCATCTATAACGATTTGAATCATAGATCTTGTCCCGATGTAGTAATATAAAATGCGATTGAGTAACAAAGCCATCACTATTTGGATCGGCTAGAATATCCTCTGAATCTGGTGTAGTATAGAAGCTGAGGGCGAATAAGTCATCTAAGGCGATCAGTTCTTCGATGTAAAACTTCATTTTGCGCGCATCATGAGGACAATAAGCCAATTTCATTCCATATGGCTTCAGAGCAGCCGACCAGGAAACAGGATCTTGCGTATTTATGTTGCCTTGAAAATCTTCGGGTCTCTTGCCAGTGAGCATGGCCAGACAAGTGGACACACAAGTGGGACCTTTTTGACGGATTGGGTGGATGACAAGATCACGAAAGTAGTGTTCTCCATCTTCTGCTGGCCACACAGGCGTATTTGCGTCACTGGTAAATGTTGCCATTGCTTGGGACGCCAAATGTATCTGAAATATATGTCTTTCTTCGTGACAAACCGAATAAGTGGCTAGGTATGGATGCGGGTGTGAGTTGGGATGTTAATTAGATTGTAAAAAATCACTACTCAAATGATGAAGAATGATAACATTTTTTATTCTTGAAAATTAGACATAAACGCAATAATGAAGTAACATTTTTATCTTTTTGCGACTCCTACCTTTTATCATCTTTAGTTTTCTTGCAAAAGACTAGTATATATGATAAGAAAAATGATGTATGCACGAATATGTCCTTTTATATATTATTTTCGTTGTTATCAATATCATAAAGTGGCCACCTATGTTGGTAATAAAACAGTTCTCTATCCTTAATACTGTTACAAAACTCATTCTTCTATTTATCTACATAGAAATAAAGTCTTTCTTTAGTCGTAAACTTTTCTTTGTTCCATAACTGTAAAGATTGATATGTGGGTGTAGGTGTGGATGGGTAAATTCTATCCTCCCAACTACACCCACACCCATTTTTATGTGTTAAAAAAGCTTTTTATTTGAGAATAATGAATTTCACAACGATAATATTTACAAACTTGCTCTTTCTTCGAGAAAAAGTATTCTTGTTTAACTCGTAAAAACATTGTTTATTTCAGAACTTGTCTGATTCAGACTCGTCACTCATCCCCTTAGCTCTTGCAGAACAAAATTATTTTCAAAGAAGAAAAATCTGAAAACATAATTTCTAGAACCAACTGTTTATGTTTTATTTCATTAAAATGTATTAACGTTTTAAGACTCGAAATTCATATGAATCACATTCACCATCCTGAGGGCGTGAGTGTACTTGATGAGATGAATCTCATACCTAAAACCTGCACCTACACGCACACTCCACATCCCACATCCGCAGATTTAAACCAATTACAAATTATTTAGATGAAGTAAAAAAATGTCTATTCTACAGTTGATTATCAAAATATTGGCATGCCTATCCTGTTTTTCTCTATTAAAGATAGTATTAAAGGCAAACCTATCAAATGAGTTTAATTCGTTGCTAAAATTGTAAATGTATCTCCTCAGTTTTTACTTTGATTCTTTTTTATTTCATAGAAAATATAATTTAATCGTGTGGATTGTAACATGAAATAGTTTAGTAGAATTATAATATATCCCGTAATTTCATAGCTGGATTCCACTAACTAATGATGTAGTCATTGTATCTGATCGATTGATTTTTTCGCAATAGGATAAATTCTTGTTGTTGTAGAGTGTGGATATAAGCGTGTGAGTGATAATTATAACATCCACACCCACACCCTTTTAGCTCGTGTTTCACAGAACTCTATTATTAGAAATATTTTATTATAATAATTATCAATTAAAATAAACAGGTGACTATCAGACTCATTATTTCCCATTATAATATATTGTTTTTTCATGATCATGCAATAGCCGGCTACATGAGTAATTACACTTTTCTTCGTTAACTATTTAATTAAAAAACTATTATGAAATATAAACTTAAAGAACAAACATTTCTACATATATTTATAACTGATGATTGTGTGAACTAATGATTCCAGTTTGGTTCATTTTCTATTATGAATAGAGGTGCGTGACTATCATTATATTTGTTAATATTATCGGATACAGATTGAAAAGAACATGCTAATGACATCCTTCGATATTTCTTAACGATTCCACACGAATACTCATTTTCCTACCATTAAGAGCAGCACATCATATATATGAATAACAGAGTATTAATTAGAAACAATCAACTCTATTACATAGATTTACACAGAGACAAATAAGTAACTGTCTCCTCTTGTCTTTTTCGTATTCTGCCTAGATTATAGTATAAGAATATTAAAAAATGAATTCATCTTCGATGATCGATATGAACAATATTGGATCTATATTCAACATTGACCTTAGTCGGAAACTTACATTTATCTTTTTAATCATTCTGATTTTTCCATCTATTGCTAGTTCATGTTTTGTTCTTTATCATATTATACGACAGAAACAAATACAAAATCGACTCAACAATCATCTGGTTATTTGTATTTTCTTCGTTTATTTCATTCAGGTAAAGATTTATTTCAGAAAATATTATTCATATAAAAATATTCTTATAGGCTATATTCGATCTTCCTCTTACACTTATGTATCTCTATCATGGATATGTAGCAATTGCGTCCGATATTTTTTGCAAATATTGGCTCATTTTAATCTCTGCTCTTAATATATGTTCTGTTCAATTAAATGCTTATTTGTCAATAGAACGATATTTACTCATATTTCATTCTCAATTTTTACAAAAGTAAGTCGACAAGAACTATAGAATATATCGATTGACTATTCTCTTATTAGATATAAGATTATATTACATTATCTACCAATACTTATCTTAATTATCAGCCCGTTCTTCTTTATGATCGGTATGGTAAATTATTATCCATGTGAAAATCATTTTGATTATACTTCTTGGGCATGTGGAACAGCATGTTATACATTACAACCAATTCCAAGTACAGCTTCATGGATCTATGCTTTACTTGCACCTTTATTTATCATTTGTACTTCTAATATTTTACTCATTGTACGAGTTATTTATCAAAAGCGACGAATGCTTCAAAGAAATGTATGGAAAAAGAACAAAAAAATGTTATTACAACTTTTATCCGTTACCGGAGTATTGTATGTTTCCTGGGTACCGATTAGCATTTCATCAGTGATTACTGTATTACATCCAAATCAAACTTTATATGAACTGCAAGGGAATTGGTTGTTAGTAGGTTTGATTTATCTTGCTGTACTCTTTTCTCCATTATCATCTTCAATGGCAATGCCAGAACTCAGAAACGAGATTCATCTATGGATTAATCGATGGCTACGACGTTATCGTAACGCTCAAACTTATCCTGCCGCTGTGACGCGACTACAAACAGAATAAGAAAAATCAATGAAATAACATATCATTTCAATGTTGTCTTGTATTGTTGCATTGTATCACGTTTTATGTAGTTTTTAATTGAGAGGATAGGTGGGTGTCTCTTTTCTACCCACACCTTGAGTAATATGTGCACAATATTTATATTTTTTCACATCATCATCATCATAAAGATATATTAATAAAATATTGAATTTCTATTTATCGATGAGGCTTAGAATCACAGCTGTGTATTAGAAATAAAAAGAAAAACGATTCTCACAATATTGTCTCTTTTCAGTATCAACTATGTGTAAAAGTGTAATCTATTGTTTCGTTTTCGTTCTTATTAAGTAAGTCATATTAAATTCTACCTTTGATTTTTCTAATATTCATATTTTAGTATTTCAGGTTTGATTTTCAGTCAATTTTACATGTTCAGTTTTTAGTTTATTTCATTACTAGTTCAAATAAACTCTCATATATGCGATGGCAGTGCTCAATATAAACAATGCTCGATAAACACGGCTTGTGGTTGTCTTTATATGGCAAATACGAATCACACTAGTATTTGTGGCTCTTTCGAAATATCATGTTCTACACTTTTACCATGTGATTCTTCAAGCAATATATGTAATGAACCTAATCATATTTGTGTTCATCATCCTCGATGTAAAAATCATCCTGTTTGTTATCCAATGTCGATGATTGATCGACAATTATGTCCACCGTTAACAAGTGAGTGAACAAACATAAGTTTCGTCATACACTTAAATCATTGAGAGTGCTTTATAATATATATTTATCTAGAATGGATCAATACTGGTAATATAACTGATGCACGATATATGCACAAAGCATCTATATTACCAGATGGAAAAGTATTAATTGTGGGTGGAATTAATAGTCATCCTCTTGCTTTGAAAACTGCTGAAATATATGATCCATCAACAGGAATTTGGAGCGGTACTCAAAACATGACTTATGCACGGTTTGGTCATACATCATCGATATTGACAAATGGAAAGGTATTGGTTACTGGTGGAAATGGTAATGGTTATTATCAAAATACTACTGAGTGGTATGATCCATTGACAAGAACTTGGAAAACTACTGGTAGTATGAGTTATACACGTTTTGGCCATACAGCAAGCATCTTACCAAATGGTAAAGTACTAGTTACTGGTGGAGATTCTCATGGTCATTATTTAAATAGTGCTGAATTATATGATCCATTAACAGAAACTTGGACAACTACTGGCAATATGAAATACCCACGCTATCAACATACAGCATCCGTATTAGTCAATGGAAAAGTACTTGTTACTGGTGGATGTGCGAATGATTATTTAAATAGTACTGAATTGTATGATCCATCGACAGGAGCATGGACAGTTGCTGCTGTCATGAATAACGCTCTTTGTAGTCACACAGCATCTGTACTGGCAAATGGAAAAGTATTAATTACTGGTGGAAGTAGTTCTAGAGCTGTTGCTCTGAATAGTTCTGCATTGTATGATCCATCGACAGGAAATTGGACATCTACCGTCAACATGAATAATGGACGACATTTTCATACAGCATCTGTCTTACCAAATGGGGATGTGTTAATTACTGGTGGTTATAACGGTACTAATTCTTTAAATACTGCTGAATTGTACAATCCATCAACAGGAACTTGGACAATTATGGATGTTATGAATAGTGCACGGAGCATTCATACAGCTTCCGTATTAAAAAATGGAAAAATATTAATCACTGGTGGAACTGATAATAGTGCTTTAAACAGTGCAGAACTGTATTAAGCGTTTTAAAGACATAAACAATAAATAATTTCTGAATTTTATTATAATTATTTTTCTTTTCAAATATCATCATCATCAAAGCACATTTATTTTATTTTAATAAGGGGTGTGAATGTGACTGTGGGTGCAAGAGATAAGATACACCCACGGACTTACTCAAACTCACATCTGCACTCACCCACACCCACACCCCAAAATATGATTTACAATTACATCTAAGTTATTCTTGTACTTTTTTTTCTATATATTAAACACGTACGTGCATATTCTTAATTTATTCTAATCTTTTATGATTGATGAGTCTGGGAAAAAACCATGATTTTAATTTTTCTAACGTTATTAGAAATATTTGCATTTATTAAGTTTATGATGAATGATCTCATCAAATAGGGAAACATTTTCTCCTATTTTATGCGTCTCAAACTTTGTTTTTCTTCGTTTTGATTCTAAGCCGACTCAAGTAAGTGTTTGATATCAATTGATAGTGATGTTTTTGGTGAAAATTTTGTTTTGTTTTATGGCTATAATTTCATATGGAAATTTATACCCAATTAATTTTCAACTGACTGAATGGACAAATATTGATGAAATTAATACAGACTTACAACATGACTGTCTTTATATTTCAATGTCGATTCAGCCTGTAATAAAGCCTTTCCTTCTTGAGCTGCATCCTTTTTCTCGAAATTTCCATCAGATGACCTCATTATGTTTAAGTGAATGGCCATCCACATGGAAGATTCAGGAAAATACACGAGATCAAAAATTTAATTTTTCTCAGCTGGCTGCATTAAATATAACCAGTCTACAATTATATCATTGGTCAGCATCAATAGATATTATAGAATCTTATCAATTCTATTTGAATCAATTATCAACTTCAAACAATATATTTTTATCGACCAAAGCTTTTTATAATTGTACATCACCAAGATTTGGTCCACAATGTCAATATTTATTTCCTTTCAGAACAAAGGAAAAACTTCCATCAGTACACGAATTAATTCATAGATTTTATTTAGTATTGAAATATCCAAGAGAAGATTTACTATGTTATCGTCATTTAAATTGTCGTTTTGGTTCAATATTGCTATGCCTTGATTGGAATCAAATCTGTGATGGTTTCATTCAATGTACGGACGGAGTCGATGAACAACATTGCTGGCAAATGGAAACGAATCAATGTAAAGAAAACGAATATCGATGTCGAAATGGTCAATGCATATCTTCAGTATTTTTGGATGATAATGCAGTTGGTGCTGAGTGTTTTGATCAATCAGATACAAGAGAGAAGTTCGACTGGGATCCATATCTACGATTAACATACGACCCTATCCGACCACAATTTATCAACGAAGAAGTAGTTATTTATAATGGCACTGGTCATTTTGGACCCTATTTTGAAGGGCGTGACCGTAGACTTTTTTTCGTTCATCACATGATACCACAACCAGATAAGTTAATATCAAATAGGTGTGAATTTACACTTTACTGTTATCTTAGATTTTTTGTTGGGGGGATGGATGATTGTGAAAATATCTATTCGAAAGAATATTTTCAGAAAGTAATTAATGAAAGTTGTCCGGACATGTTTTATGTACCATCTGCAGCAATTGTCTTTGGTCATGTCTATCTAGCATATACAAAACAATACGTTGTTCAACAGAAAACACGAGTAAATGCACCCGACTATATATGTTACAATGAGCAATTATGTGGTGGCTTCAATGCAAATCAAAAGATTATTCATTTTAACAATAGTCTATGTCGTCGTGTTCAAGATATTTTACCTAATGTTATTTCAAATGAAAATTCAATTGAAATGATTTGGGATTATATTCATCAAATATCGATTTATCTTTCTAAATGTAATACAATTTTACGCAATGACACAATATTCTGTGACAATCGAACGATGTACCAATGTTTAAATTCTTCGAAATGTATAGCAAAAATTCGTATCTTCGATCAATTTGAAGATTGTGATTATGGAGATGATGAAGATAGGCAAAAAAATATTTTAACTAATGAAATTTGTTCGAAAGAACAATCTTTAACGCATTTCATATGTCCCAATACAAATAAATGTATTTCTCGAAAGTTAATTAGAGATTCGAAATGTGACTGTGGGTATTTAGATGCTCAACATTTTCTATGTCCTGATGAAAATATAGAAATGAAATCCATTCGAGAACTCATATCATTTCCAACAATTTGTAATGGTTTCAATGATTTAAATCCTATACTTATTGATGGACAAAATTATACAGATGAAACTGAATGTAATCAATGGGTGTGTAATAATGCATATACTCGTTGTAACGGTTATTGGGATTGTTATGATGGAGCTGATGAAATTGATTGTCATGAATTTTTATTAGGTTTGAATTGTTCAGCTCATAGTTTTTTATGTCTATCAGCTATTACACGTAAATTTATGTGTCTCTCGATGGACCAAGGTAATGATGGCAACATTGATTGTCTTGGTGCCACGGATGAACCACAATTATGTCGATATAACACTCAAACCTATGATAATGGATTCTACTGTGAAGATCGAAAGATTCGTTTACCCGTTTGTATTCAAAGCCATGAAATCTGTAATACCGATATAACATGTACAGACTGGGAAATGGACAAACTCTGTGAACCACTTACGTTTTTTCCTGTTATTTTCAGAAATGGTTTCTGTAATCGAGGCGATTTTGCATCTCTTGATTATAATAATATGCAAATATGTTATCTTTTCAGATTTACTCCAAGACCTGAAATTGTGCATTTTTCTCTCGCTCAGGTGAAATCAATATTTAAAGATGAAGATAGAAAATCTCCATTAGCGGATTCTCTCATCGATGAGATCGATCGAGATCTAAACGGACATTGTTATAGAGGTGTACCTTTGAAAGTCATCTTAGATATTAACAAAAATCTATTTCGTACAACATGTTTATGTCTTCCAAATTATTATGGTTCACATTGTCAATATCAAAATCAACGAGTTAGTTTTACAATGAAACTTCAAACATTTTCTGATTCTTGGCAAACACAATTTCTTCTCATTGTTTCACTTATGGACAATACAAATGAACGAATTATTCATTCATATGAACAAATAACATATTTTCCAATGCAAAATTGTCAAACATCATTTGATATCTATTTAGTTTATTCAAATCGACCAAAAAATGAATCCAAACAATATACAATACATATCGATATTTATGAAAAATTATCATTAAACTATCGAGGAAGTTTCTTTATTGACATACCATTTCTATTTTTACCTGTACAACGTATTGGCAGTCTATTAAATATTCCATATAAAGGTTATCCAATGAAAAATTGTTTTATTGATGGATGTTTACATGGTGAATGTATTCGATATTTTGAAGATACAAATAATAGAACATTTTGTAAGTGTTTTAAAGGATGGATTGGTCGACTTTGTACAATTGAATATGAATGTAATTGTTCATCGGATTCATTATGTCATGGTATATCAGCAAATCAACGTTCAATTTGTATTTGTCCAATAGATAAATGGGGTCCTCAATGTTTGATTTCTGATGAAATATGTCATTTAAATAATCCATGTCGAAATAATGGTACATGCATACCTTATGATCAACATGTTTCACCTGGAAATACATTTGAATGTATCTGTTCAAAAGAATTTTATGGCAAACTATGTGAATATTCATCTTTTAAAATGATTTTATCATTTTCAAATGATATTGATATACCTGAAACAATGTTTATTCATTTTATTGAAGTGAAACATAGACAAGAATCAGAGAAAGGTATTACTTTTAAAAAAATTCCAATCAATCGAGATCCAATAACTATCTATTGGGCAAAAACTGTTCATATAAGTTTTGTTGAATTATTTCTCAATCAATATTATTTAATTCATCTTGATGAAAATCATAATAAATCGAATATTATTGAAAAACAAATCAAATCATCTGATTCTTGTCTACATATTCGTCAAGTATTTAATGAATCATTTGCTAAACTTCATCTTATTCGTCGTATTAAATTTTATCATTTCATATGTCAAAATCATTCGAAAGAACTTTCATGTTTTTATGATGATATTTATATTTGTTTTTGTGTTCAATTCAATAATCAACGACAAACAAATTGTTTAGAATCTAATCATACATTAAAACGTGATTGTTCTGGTCGAAGTATATGTGAAAATGGTGGTCAATGTTTGCAAGATAGTTCAACGTGTCCACAAACATCGATCTGCGTTTGTCCATCATGTTTCTATGGATCACGATGTGAATTTCCTTCAGATGGACATAGTCTTTCACTTGATGCTATTCTTGGTTATCATATTCAACCATTTGTTTCTATAATACAACAACCAATTATTGTTCAAATAAGTTTTGCTTTAGTTATGATTATTACTCTCATAGGAACTATTAATGGTATTTGTTCTATCTTAACATTTATACAAAAAGATTTAAAAAAAACTGGTTGTGGAATTTATCTTCTTGGTTCATCAATAACAACATTATTTAATACAAGTATATTTCTAATTAAATTTCTTATACTTATTACAGCACAAACTACATATGTAACAAATATTTTATTTTTACAAATTCAATGTCGAAGTATTGATTATTTAATACGAGTTGGTCTTAATTTGGATCAATGGTTAAATGCATGTGTAGCTATCGAACGTGCTATGACAGTCGTAAAAGGAGTTTCTTTTAATAAAAAGAAAAGCGTCAAAATTGCTAAATATGTTATCGTTATTCTTATTATTGTAATTATCAGTTCAAATACTGTTGATCCAATTTATCGACGTCTTGTTATAATTGATAATAATGATGAAAAACGAATTTGGTGTGTTCTTCATTATTCATCAATTATTCAAAAATTCAATATAACAATGAATATTCTTCATTTTTGTTTACCTTTTATCATTAATCTTATATCAGCATCAATTATTATTATCAATAGTGCTCGTTTAAAATCATCTCTACAAAAGAAAAAATCATATAAAGAACATTTAATTGAACAGTTTCAACAACATCGTCATCTTTTGATTTCATCATTTTTATTATTTATTTTAGGTGTACCACGTTTAGTTATTCTATTTTCAAGAGGTTGTATGAAGACAAATGCTGATTCTTGGTGGTTTCTTATGGGATATTTTATTTCTTTTTTCCCACCGATGCTTAATTTTATTATATTTGTTATGCCATCAGAAGTATATGTAAAACATTTTCGCACGACTATTAAGATGTATCGTGATGCTATAAAACGACGTTTAAATTAGACTTTGCAAAATACAACGATAATTCTTTTTCAAAAAAATAATTTTTTTATTTGCTTTTCAGATATGATATTCATCTGGGTTTTACTTTTATTTTCTGGTGTATTTCCAAGTATTCAAACTCTATCATGTATCAACTTTGAATATGAAGAACCTGCATATATCGATACATTTGATCGAAATGCCTTAAAGGAGAAACTTGATCGTTTTGAAATGGATGCAAGTCTTTCTGCATGTCGTGTGGAGATGGTATTTGTTTATTCTACGGGATTACTAACACTAAAGTTTAGTAAATTGGTTCCAAAGACAACCATCTCAGTTGGTATTGTTACGTTTCGTACCTTAGTAAGATATACCAATAAAGATGACACAACGACTATACATGTTTTAACAGCTGCATGTTCAAACTCTGACGGTTGTGATAAACAATTTATACTGAATCATGTTGACTGGTTCATTCGATTGAAGTATGATGACTTCTTCAAAATTAGTTTCCAACTGCTTGTAGGTGAAGATGATAAGATACGTAAGTCTCACCCAAATACCTCATCAATGTCGTGCATACCTGAGCATGAAATAATTTTTGCACAACACATATGGAGTAAAATCTCCTCGAAAAATTGATTATACGGCTAGCGCGTCTCGGATTTCGATGCAGAATATTAATCCTTTTGAGTATACGACCTACCATATTGATTTTGATCTTTCATTCCTATACAATATTCTTAGAACATATTGGATTCTTTTGTTCATACTCATGTTTAATACTTTTCAGAACGATGCAGTCATCCCAGATGCCCAAATAGGTTTTGCGGTGTTGGGTGGACACACAAAGAAACCGATATTGTACAAGGTTGTAGTGAACTACCAAGAGCTCAATTTCAGGCTCGGAATGATTTTAATATCAATACTCGTAAAGAAACTGAATCCTTTGCCTTTTTTTGTGGTTATGATCAGTGCAACAGCTTAGATGTTGTGTCAAAATTGCAAGCGAATGTCAAAGAAAACTACAATATTTTACTAGTGCGCAAAGCTCTAGGTTTTGACAACGAATCGGATAACTCTATGGCAACTACAAGCTCGACACTCAATATTACATTTTTTCAATATTTTATTGAAAATATGTCAAACGTGTCTTCACTTTCTTTGGAAGATACGACTGTAACACAGTTATCTATGATAACCAATTCATCAGCAATGACGAAGTCAGCTTCAACACTTGTTACAACAAAAACTAACGGCTGCACCACATGGCAATTTCAGAAAACAAATATTATAATGAATTTAAATGCAATGATAATCTTATTAATCATTTATTAAAGGCTTGATTTTACAAATTCTAATCAAAATAGATTTATTTAATACATGTCTGCTTCTTTCAGCTGTGAACTAAAATAAAATATGAATGGTTAACAATCGTTGCCTATGCTTATTGTAATAATATTTGCGTAATCATATCCACTCTTTCTTTCTTCTCTGCTTTTGTATTTTTGAACACAAATATGCATCGATCAAATAAATTAATACATTGAACCTAAGGGTGTGAGTGTCGATGAACAGAAGACTATGTTGCACCCATACCCATCTCACTCTGACACACACACATCCACGTCCTCACCTTCACCCACACACACACCCACCCTCCGAAGACAAAAACTCGGGGACATTTGTGAAGGACATTTTTTTGAGAAGATTCACAGCCGTATTTGATGAATTTATTAAAGCTACAGCTGGGTTGTTAATAGTTTGTTCTCGAAGGAAGTTATGAGCCAGTTGCACGATATTAAGACTTTTGTTATAGTTAGATAATGCAATAGCTATAAAATGTGCTGATGAAGAAGCAAACTTCTTTTAATCTGAATCATAGTGAAATTATAAACTCAAGTATTATTGAATTTTACGACAAAAATAGAAGAAAATGTTCTAAAATTCAACCACTGCCGCGCTGCCATGGACACCTCTGTCATGTGCATGATATGCCATTTATTATTATATTCTTTAAAAATCTCTCTTTAGCATGCATTTAGTAATAGTTACAGTTAAATATTTATGAAAGCGACAAGACGTGTCAATAACTGTCCGTAACAAAATCCACAGGAAGAAATAAAGCCATTATTAGAATGAAGGAAAGAATTATTTTTTAATCAAACGGACTAGAGGAAAGAAAAGGTGGAATCATAATTCACAACGCTATTCACTCTAATGAATATGAATATAGGTGCACTCTTTGCTCTTGTTTTTCTTATTGGTAAGCCCTGCTATAATTTAACATATACATTTTTGCTAATATTTTATCCGTCAAAAGTAGCTCATCCAATTCATATATTGGGTCTAAGATGTTATCAATGTGTATATACCTCGAATCACAAATGTGGTGACACATTTAGCATAAATGGATCTGGTGTTGATGAGATGATTTCAAATAGTGGATATTGTTGGGTACGCAATTTTATTCTCCAAATTCTTGTTAACATAGTTACTTGCTCTTTAGAAATTAAAATACGGCGGTTATGGCTCTAATAGTGTGGCCCCGGGTGGTGATCCGCTACGAAACTATCATCCCGACTTAGCTTGCCCAAGAATGAACACTTGCGAGAGACACATTACTAATCGAAACGCTTTAAGATGCTGCTGTCAAGATAAAGATTTTTGCAACAGAGCTTCAACAGTCTCAATTACTGTTTACATGTTTCACTTAAGTGTAATTTTTACTTGCACTTTCGCGCATATCCACTATTAAAGCAACATTTTACGTTTCTCTCGCTTTAGTGATGACAGTGTGCTTGCAATGCTTCAGATTAAAATAAAAGACGTCAAAAATTTCACGGGCTGTTTTTAGCAAACAGATCAGCTGAATAACAAAAGACCCTTCCATCGTGAGTCTAGACGAGTGTGATACAAAAAGGATATTTCTATCTATCTCCACTCGCATTAATCGATACTCTATAAGAGTGGGTGTGGGTTTGACAACCTTGAATTTTTCCACACACATATCCACACACATATCCACAAGAATACTGCTGATGTTTAACTAAACGATTCTTTCATTTTTTTTCCATGAAAGGTGTGAGTGGAAGCATAAGTATAAGCGTGCATGAGTCTAAGGATACAATTTCAATCTCACTCATACCTAAAACATTACTTCACATTTGCGATTATTACGTATACGGAAAGACTAAAAAATGAAATTTACATTTTCATTTTTCAATTTCTGAGTATAAAATTACAAAAAAATAACGTTTTAAAGTGATTCTTGCTGTATTCTTTCTAACGATATGCAGCGCTATCGACTAAAGTATAGTCGTATGTATATTTACTCACGCACATTATAAAATATCGCGTACGTGGATATTTTTTACAAGAATATAGCAGAGAAGAAAAAAGTCAGTTTTTTTTTTCTTTGGTCGACTATAGAGCAGATGTGCATCCACACACTAATCTTCTCATTCGCTATACGTTGCCGAAGGATAAAAAATAGAAAAGAAATATAATGACATACGTATCTACACAAGCAATATAATCGTAAAGAAAATGGCATCAATAACATGTATCGAACAACTGCCCGTCGAATTGTTGTTGAGGGTATGTTCGTATTTGGAAGGTCATGATCTCATAAAAGCCTTCGTGAATTTAAACATATTCTTCGATTCTCTACTTCGATCATCACAACTTCAAATTTATTTTCGTCTGGAGGAGAATGAAATTGAATTTCCGCATATTTTTATCGAAAATGTTCGATCACTGAGCGAGGATTCATATGATCGATCGGTGCATCGATTTATTGATTTGCATGTATCCCATTTGAAATATCTTCAATCTCTCACAATCGACGTCGATGATTACAATAATAGTCCGATCTCGTCAATTCTTCCAAAGTTTGTTCATCTTGAATATTTAAATATTCGATATATATGTTCAAAACAAAACGAAGATATACTTGAAATAATTTTCTCCTTACCCAAACTTCGTTTTTGTATTTTAAACGTAGATGATCTTTACTTTACGTCCAAACTGAAGAATGATTCTGTATCATCAAACAATTCTATTGAATACCTGAACATTAAAAACAGAATTCGTACGAGCTGTCTTCATTCTATTCTCCACCAACTACCCCATTTGCGTTCTCTACAAATGGGATATTTGATGCGAAATACACCTTCATTATTATCGCAAAATATTATTCCGAGCATGAAAATGATTACGTTCAAAGCTAGTGGTATAAAAATGTCTGACTTTGAAGAAATTCTACAAAAACTACCGAATCTTCAGTTAATTTCCGCTGGACCAGTGATGGTGAATGAAAAGCAGTTTGAAAAAATGTTGTTCGATTACCAATGGACGAAACCATTCGATCGAATTAAACGGGTCGATATTGAAATACAATGGTTTTTCATGACGAAAGGAAAAAAAGAAGATATGCGTACACGTCTTCCTCAATCGCATCCCTGGTTGTCAGGATCTTTTCATCAGTACTTCGATGGAAACGACGACGAACACATTTTTACTTTCTATCTCAATTTTAACAGGAATATAGCGAAGAAAAATAAGCGGAGTATTGAAGGAGACATTTTCTAAAACGCGAAAGGATTCATAAACGATGTTTTGAAAGTACGCGGAGATGATGATCACTTTTTCAATTTTTCTCCTCTCGTACTGATAGCTCTTTCTACGTATTTTATTTATTAATTCTTTGCTTTCTTTTCTTCGAGACTCCCTCTACACCCACCCTCACATAAAAATAATTAATATTATTAAACAAAATTAACTGAAACTCTTGTGTAAAATGAAAGCTTTATTAGAGAATTTAACACTAGCATCCAATAGATATAATATGTAATAACAAACTTTATTGTATTATAAAAGGAAGTATTTTTGAAAGTCGATCGGGAGCACAAGAAAACATTATTGAAAAAATTTTGTTTAGATGATATGGAATGTTTATACGTTAAAACCACTGATATGCGAGCATGATGAGTGCGCCAATTGTGACGAAGATAACGAGAGGTTGTTGTTTTACTACTGACACACCGTTGCACGAATCTGTCGTACAACAGCAAACAGTATGCGTATAACCGTATTGTTCATATTTTCCGCATCCATTTATGCCTCCAATGCAATGAAGAACATTCGGCTCAGCACTGCGAGACACGCTGCTGCCACCCTTTGACTCTGATTTCTCTTTCTGAAAAACAAAAATGGCAAGCGTGTATGAGATTGTTACGACAACAAGACATGTTTCCAAGAATACATACTTTACACACTGCGCCTGGAACATTCACTTTCGTCCTACCTCCATATGGATCAGCACAATCACTACCGCTACAACTATGGCAATCGTACGTGTTGATTGTGCCGACACATCCTATTTCGATATAAACAAGAAAAGAAAATGTTTATTCATTCATTTTTAATTGTCTTACCGAAAATAAGCAAAAGAATAAATGCAGATTTCATATTTTTCTTGATTATAATATAAATTCTTTAGATAGTAGTCGATATCTAACTAAATAACAAATGTAGGACTTATAGATGCTACTGTCTTTATAAAGGCAATGATAACGATCTCTCTTCTTTTCTTATTTAAACGTAGTTGATAAGGCGCAGGTTACACGTAGCATTATCATTGTTATTATTTTTCTTTAGATCTATTGTTCGTTGGATTGAATCAAGAAAGTGAAATATCATTTTTTTTCTCATTACTTCACTATTTATATAAGAGTAATACTGATGTTTGATACCATCGTATGATCGTGTTGAAACTTTTAACGCTTAATCAAAGCATTACTAATACATATGTATATCTTCATTACTATGGTCTTCTTTCTCATATTGTGCGATTCTGATCAATGCACTAATAAAAACTAGAGCATATTGCACAAACAGCTAAAAAAGCAAGGACATCCATGTATTTTAGTTGTTGTGTAAACGGATAGATAATTTTATTCTGTTCTACATTGTCAACAGCACAAAACGATTATAGTCCACCTCTAAGATAAGACCTCTGCATGATAACAGACGCATAAGAATAGAATAAAAGTAGGTGTGTTGATAGCAAATGGTAACAAACACATCTTTAGTCGACTTCGAGAGAAAATTTTGTGTATATTTCATGCTGTTAAAAAGCAGCATTTAAGAGATCAGCCCTTAACAAACGTCATTTTGCCGTGATCTGAAGAGTAAACGATTAGTACCCACACCCACCCTTTTCGAAGTATGCAATTATTTTATTTTTTATTTGAATAATAATTGAGAAAAATATTATAATCAAAGAAAAAAAGTTAAAGTCAATTATTTGCCATTAAAACCCATACCGACAGTTCAGAAATAACCATAAACAATAGTATGCAAAAAAATACCAAATAGTTTAATGCGGCGCATCTACCTTCAATGTCTTTTTTATTTTTTCCTTTTCCTTTATCTTTATCGAAATCAGCTTGGCATGTTTCGCATCTGTTGCAAAAATCACATTTTGGCGTCGCTTTCTTGTTTGTTTCGTCAATAACTACAGATGTTGGTGTTTCAATTCGGGCATCGTCAGTAGCACTTTTATTCATAGAGGTTTCATTTTCAACGGAAGTATGCTGTCCTTTGTCAATGCTTTCAACTTTAATATGTCGTCGAAAACACGAAGGAAATAATTTCTGACAGGAAGCACATTTCGTTTTTTGAGTACCTGTTGCTTGTGTACTTTCTTTACCTTCTGACTTCTTTAAGTCACCATTCTCAACAATAACATTCTTTGTTTTATCATCTTTTGGTGGTGGAAAAAAATAAAAGAATACTTTTTTTTGCAATAGCCCAGCAAAAATATAAAGAAATTTTGGCATTTCAGCTTTTGATATAAAATGATTACATAAGATAAACCATGCCATTGATATTAATGTCCAACATATTGATAACAAAAAGTATAATGTAATCATCATTAAATATTGAGACTGTTGTGGAAATAGATTAGAAAAATTCAATGAATAAACAGAATATGTCATGAAACATGTCATACCTAAAATACAAATACATTAAGTTCAATTTCGTATGCAAGAAAAACAAAAATAATATTCTTACATAAACCAATTTGTGATCCAAAGGGTAATGAATATGATAGTAAAGTAACGGAATTTAAAACCCAACATGCAAATATACCATTCATGATAAAATATAATGGTTTTCTTTGTAAATACAATTGTATTGATATTACATCATTAGAAGTATCTTCAAATGGTGTTCTATCTTCTGCTTGAATTACAACTAAATCTGTTCCATTCAGTGCCCATAGAGGATGTTCAGTATATCCACTAATGTCAATTACTGCATTCTTATCTTCTGTATATGCTATTCTACCGGATCCTTGACTCCATGATGTTAAACTAATACCGCATAATTGTTTATCGAATGGAAAATATCGAACATTGAAATTACATCTTGTCTTTACTGTTAATGCTGGTAATATCATATAAACTTGACCGGAATAGTTTACAGATGCTAAACTATATGTATTCACTGTAAGATAACCACTTGTATCTGCTGAATTCAATACCATTGTATCTGGTATCCATAAACTTGTAACTGGAAGCATAACTACTTGAATACCAGTATTTGAACTAGGTGTCCATGATAATCGATCATCGTACCATGTTTGTGCAATAAATGAACTTGTTGTCATTATTTGTTGTTTTTCATCTATAGCCACAATTTGTTGTAGTTGAGCAGTGATATCAACAGATACTGTAGTACTTGGTCTTATATTTTTATTATATCCAGTTAACAAGGTTGTTATCAGGGTTTGCTCAGCTATTTGAGCAGCTGGTAGTGTTCCACAATCACAGAAGTAGAATAAGTAGTTTAGCAAGATAACAAAGGCTAGTGATTTTATCATTTTTAGATATTTTATTCCAATAAGATAAATCAAGACGACCTTCGAAGCAATGTTTCACAATAAATGTTTTGTTTATGCTGTTGAACGATGTTTCTGTGTGAAGTCTGCTTCAAACGTATGGTCGCTAAAATTATCTGAAAAAGATATTCACTCCGATAAAACCTTTATTAATTATTGTTTGTTGTTAACATCTTTAACGAATGGCAACAACTACAATTTCAGAGATGTTCTGTAAAAAAAGCAAGCATTTTCCAGATATTGAAAAGAAATGGAAGTAAATAGATGTAGGCGTGGGTATGAATAAAAAAGAAATAGAGTCATTCAGCAACCGACAACTACCCACCCTTTTAAATAGAGCACTGTGTTCCTTCAATACATTATCAACGACACAAAAAGTTCTCATCTTTTAAACTCTCAAAGTAGTAAACAAAATTTCTTTTCAGCTTTCTACGCAAAAGAGTACTCACCTATCGACATACAAATAATAATTTCAATAGCCCTCAGTATAACTTACAAATCTGCGATGCTAATATATTTCTAATAGTACAGTTAAGAGTCTGAGATTCAAACAAAAAATCTCTATACCTAGTAGTTAATATTGATTGACGTTAATTAATGATTTTTAAAAAGGATTTTTCACCAAAATGTAACTCAATTAATTCTGCATCGAATAGTATACAAAAGCGTTTTAAGACTTATTTAGTAGCAAAAAAATTAATAAAATAGTAAGTGATCTATATAATAAAAATACAAATAACAGAACTCAAAATGACAGTAGCAACGCAAATTTATACTTCTTTAAAGCTGCCGAAATCATTATTAGTATGTCAATTATGAGTGTTCTGTCGCAGTGAAAACTAAAAAAAATAAAAAAAGTACATTAAAATTTTGTTTACCACGGCATCTTGGCAGAGTAAGTGCTTCCGAATAAAAAAAACAAGCAATAACTGAATGTTTTTGCTCAAAAAGAAAGAAATATTTTTCTTTTTTTTGCGTCTCAGACTTTTTTCGTGTCAGCAATATATTGGCTTCATACGAGAGGGAGCGAACGAAAAGAAAGGAATAGAAAAAGATGACCCTTAGTGGGATTCGAACTACGCACTTTCTGCTATTTGGGCAGAAGTCCTGGATCAGGTGGAATAGAATAATATCTAGATCTCAGTCTAGTGTCGGAGTGTATTATCCGTGATGTTAACAGGATACATTTGATTGTTTTGGTTGATACAGATTAGAGTGTTGAAAAAAAAGTATAAATTCAGGTGAAGTTGCGATAATTTACGATGATCTGTAATCATCATCCTTGTAACAACATCTCATTTTATCTTCATGTTCATTTCTATAGCTAGTGGACACAAGATATTCTACCTCTATTCTTTCAAGTTCGTCATACTGAATCTTGAATAACAAAAGGTCAGATTTCATTCGACACATAAACAACCGAGTTGATTCATGATGAAAAATCGAAGGCGAATAAACACATCTCAACGAAAGAATCAGCAGAAGTCATGCTTCAACTTTCTCGTTTGTTTAGCATTGTTTTTTTATCGTTAAATAAAAAATGAAATTACGGTCCTACTCACTCTATCATGCATAATAAGATTTCTCTACTTCGAAGAGGCGGGAGTGCTCGCTCCTCTAGTGATGGAAGCCAAATAACATTACCTGTCAGTTATTTTGATTATATTTCATCAAAAAACATCAATCATATTCTCGGTAATATGTTTTCTTTGCATTTGCAAATAACGTAGATTGATTACTGATGAATAATTTGTAGAATCGGGTGTGAGTGAGAGATATTTCTTTCAAAATATTTGTAATATAAACCGAAGAAAAAATTCACAAGAATTATAACTCATTATGAACATAAAACGTATTCATCAAAAAGAAGAATTCACATTGTCTCATTAACGCTCATTTCCCAGCTCCCAACTGGATATACTTCGACGATGAATTGTTATCGATTTGATTCTTCCAGCGAATAAGTGTAATGAGAGTCTGTAGAAAATGATGAATGAATGATTAAATAAGAAAAATAGAAATCTCAACCATGTTACTTTGTTTTGTTGTAGAGCATCAACAACATATCGTGCTATTTTATTACTAATTCGATTGTTTACGAGTTCCGAAGCGTCAAGTATCTATAGGAAATAATAAGTGAATATTTGAAAAATAGACATCACGGCAGGCGAGAAGAGTTATTGATTTATCAAAATTGTTTAGAATACGATAGATGAGTTCGATCGATGATGTGTGAAAAGATAAAATCATTTTATTAGTTAATTTAATAATATATCATAAATTTTCTCGTGATGGTGCAATTTTTCTTTTCTTTCTGTTTTGTATGAAGCATTGGACGATGTGTATGTTGAGTTTTCATTTCTTCTCAGTACCTATTTAAACACACGCCTGAATATATATAAAACTGTCAACATTACTTTATTTATGAAAAATTTAGCAAAACTATATGAAATTAAACTGTCACGATTGTCTCTGTTTAACTGGCGTTCAAACTCTTTTCCGGTTCCACCCAATCACAATGACCAGCCAATTTCAAACCCCAATTTTCACTCGGATTTTGAGCAATCATATCATGAGGAAAGCCAATGTCGAATTTATATGTTTCTTCGATTTCTTTAATTTCTTCTTTGCTCAAACGCACTTTCAAAGCATCTATGTTGTCTTGTAAGTGTTCGAGTTTTCGAACACCAACAATGGGAAAAATGTATGGTTGTTTTGCTATTGCATAAGCCAATGCAACTTGCGTAAGCGAAATATTCTTGGCTTTTCCAATTTTTTCCAATACAGCAGTAACTGCTTGTTCCTCTTTCGTTGGATCTAAATTCATTTGATAAAGACAATTTTAATATTAAGAAAAATCTATTGCAATTTCTTCTGGTTCATATACCTTACGAAGTTTCTCTTCTCAACAAAATCAGATTTACAAGAAAGTTTTAGGTCAACGAATAGTCATAAACGCTTTTGAAGTCTGATTTGTTTGTAAGGAAATATCATTTACCTTTATTGATGCCTACAAACGTTCGTCCCTTGTCACCTTCTTTCTCCATTGCTTCTACTTGCTCTTTTGTTTTAAATTTTCCTCGTCCTAGTGCTCCCCAAGGTGCAAAGGCCATTCCTTCATGTCGAATCATCGGAAGAATGTCTCTTTCTGCATCCCGCTTAGCAGCATTGTACAATCCTTGATAAACCGAAAACTGACGAAGTCCATAATCTCGAGCATATTGATTTGCTTGTGAAACAATCCATGCAGGTGTATCACTTGCTCCTAAATAAAGTACTTTGCCTGCTTTAACCAGATGGTCGAGAGATTGCATTAATTCAGGAATCGAACACGTAGAATCCCACCTAGAAAGAAAAGAAATCGATATTTTATCACATCTATACTAAGAATGTGAAATAAAATTATTACCAGTGTATATAGAGAAGATCGATATAATCAGTTTGAAGTTTTTTGAGAGAAGCAGCTACACTTTCATGTATCGATTTTGCTGAATTTCCAGCAAAATTCACATGAATTGGTTCTTTTGTCCAATCCGATCGATATGACATAGTGAATTTAGTTGCAATTACCATCTGACTACGATTTTGTCGTTTGGTCATCCATTCTCCCAACAAGATTTCACTTTGTTCATTTTGATAAATGTTGGCAGTATCAATGAAGTTTCCACCAGCATCGAAAAATGCATCGAGAATTTTAAATGAATTTTCTTTTGTTTGTGTACCCATAAATTCCCATGCATCACCAAGTGACATAGCGCCCAGACATAGTGGTGATACACGAACAGCTGCAGTTGGTGATAAAAGACGATAGTGTCCTAAAGCACTTGGAGGTTGTGGTGCTGGTTGCATATTTTAATTTAGATTAATCTAAACATACCGAGAAAGAAAGTTTGAAATTGATGATTTACGCGATATCTAACTTCACAACGGCTCAAATAATCGAAGAAAATCAAAACCTTTTAGTCTCAAATGAGGACATAATTCTTGATTCTAGATGATCATATGAAAAGTCACAAGTTTGTAAATATTAATATTGTAGGACTCATATTTTCTCATAAAAAATTGTTTTAATGACTTAAAATGTGCGCTTTTTATGCATAAAAATATTGTTTTTTTTTCGTTACTTATCTGACTGAATACTAGTCTAGTCTGCCTGATTTGTGTGAAGCGAATGAAGGTATCGAAATGCAGGAAAGAATGTGTCTTTTTATACATACAACTCATTAGTGCGACGAGCAAAATGCAGAAAAAAAAATGTTTTAAAACACACCCAAGGACGCAATGTGGTAAAAACACCGAAGGAAAGAAAAAAAAAGAAAGTTAATACCGATTTCGATCCCTGAAAGAAATAGTACGTACGTTATGTTTGTGATGTACTCATAGTATAGAAAAAGAGTAATGCATTACAGAACTCTTCTCTAGAGTAACGGGAAACTTTTATGTGCAGTGTACAAATTCAATTCTCTATTGAGCATAAGAATTAAGAATGAATTGTTATAAAGTTTTCACCAATACTCGATTAGTATTTTTTAAATATAATTTTAGTTCTTTCCCCCTTGTATAAATACCAGCATTTTATCCTTAAATAAACTATTACTATCCTTTCAAATATTCTTTTCTTCTTCAGCCTTCAATAAGATTGTGACAAAACTATAATCTATTATTGTCAAATGAAAAATAGATGAAATTTTTTGTTAGGCGATCAATTATTTAAATATAAAAAAAGAAATCTTTTTAGAAGAAAATTAATGCATATGTGTTATATGTTTTACATATTAATCATGAAGAGAAGGACATAGATGAACATCGTTTCTTAGTCTTAGCAAAAACTATGATCTAGAATTCTATTGACACACTATAATCATATATTTAGAAGAAAATTTCGGATGTATGTTATTTGTCATGATTGAATCTCTCGCTGCTGATGTGAAATCTAGTATACATAAGCAATAGTGAAAATAAATGTACGCATAACATAAAGTGTATGATATTAATTGAAATTCAGATTTTAACTGAGACATCTGTAGTTAAGAAATTCTATAGATAAATAACAGTATTGAATAAATAAATGAAATCTTAATTTAATTGAAAATAATCATAAAAAACATTTATGTAAAGTATAAACATCTGAATCATTTGACTATAAATTTATCTTATACTATTTACTCATTTTTATTACATGTTATCATGGGGTATATGTCTTCTATATATAAACTTATCTATGATTCATCTTGCTTGTTAATTTTCTTTTTTATACCTGAAAATGTGTGTTACCGGCTGTTATCTTAAAATATGTTGTTCGATAAGTAACAAGATTGACACAACTTACTCATTTATTCTAATAACAAAATATTTTCTCTTGAATTTAACAGTCTCTATATATACGTAATCATCTCTAGGCTTCTTTATAGAAAAATGTTATTTCATTTATTCGTTATATTCAGTTTATATAAATCAATATCGTGTCAAATATCATGTTATGCTTGTTCAAACGACTCAATTAAATATGATTATATAATTACAGCTGAAAATATTCCTACGGAACTGAATAATTGTCCAATTAAAAACAATCAATACGAATGTGCTGTTGATATAAGATGGTTCTTATCTTCTAATACAACTGAAGTTGATATCGTAACTGATTCTCGTAAAAGAGAATTAGCACCAGCAGATCATACAGTTACTGTTGACGCTATTTTTGGAAGTAATGGATTGACTCAAGAAATATATCATTCATTATATTATTTTTGTTCTACTGATAAATGTAATAGTGCAAGTGAATTAAAGCGTTTATTATTATCATTGACGTTGAAAGATCAATTGATGGAATTAAAAGATTTATTAAAACCAAGTGAACAATTCGATGGACATTGGTGTTTATTTTTCTCGAATCAAACTGCTGAACCTTGTGATATACCTGTAACCGTAGATCCAAATAACTGTAAGCAATGCTCAGCCAAATTCACGACTGAACCAAAAACGAATACAATATGTGCAGGTTGTTATAATGAAGAGATGCAGAAAGACTTTTTGGGACGTGAAATTCTTTTTAATTTAACTGATCGAACACGTACTGAAATTCGAATGATTAATTGTCGGTCAAATCATTGTAATGAAATTCATACGGGGGATCTGATTCGTCAAAAATGTGCCATAGATTTTGATTTCGTCAAATTTTTAAATACCACCAGTAGAAATAGTACTTCTTTATTATTAAATGGAATTATTCTAATGTGGATTATATTTATCATCAACGGAATGTTTTGAATAACATATAACAAATGCTAACGACTATACAAATAAGAATATTTTCTGCTTTTTTTGCTGTTGTTGAAATATTTAGTAATTGAAATTTTCTTTTTTATCATAAATGAATACGAAAATAAATGTTTAAGATTAATGGTATTCTATTTGATACTAGATATACGATTGAGGGTATTTTGCCCTTCCTTAGCTCACACCCACACCCATAATACTTATAAGATTATATTGTATCAAAACAATGGATGGTATTCAATTTCATTTTAAAACAATACGGATTAAAATAGCATCTGTATGATAGAAATAAAAAGAACGAACGCATTTAAAATAGTACTTTCATTTTAATAGAAGCTACGATTATAGTTATGATTTGTTATTTCGTTTTCATTTTTCTCAGGTAAATCATTACTGATTCGTATTTTTCATTGCTCTATTATTTTTTTTTTCTATTTTAGTATCATAGGTTTGATTTCAATTTTGTTTTACAAATTGAATTGTTCATTTCTTTTTTTTGATAGTTCAAGTGCAATCACAAACATGTAATGGGATTTCACAATATGAACAATGTTCAACAAATAGTGCCTGTGCATGTTTTACTATGACAGATGCTAATGACACTGGCATCTGTGCTCTTCTTTCGATGGATTGTGCTAGTCTTTTACCATGTGACTTTTCAAACAATACATGCCATCAGTCTAATACAATGTGTGTTCGACATCCTCGATGTCATGATCATCCTGTTTGCTATCCAAAATCAATGATTGGTAAAGAAATCTGTCCACCTGTGAGACCAAGTAAGGAATTACATTATTGATAAAGACAACCTGAGAATTCTGATTAGAGAGTAATATTCTAATGAGATGGAAAATATCTGATATTAATTGATCTGTGACTTTTTTCAAAAGAATCGGCTTTAACCTGTTTTTAAACTTCTTTCTAGGAATAAGTGATATCGTTATCCAATTCGAAAGAAATACGAACCACTTTCATTTCTAATATATAATTCAGACAAGTTTCTTCTCATGTATTTATCCTTTATTTGGTGATTAGGTTGTGGTAGCTGTTATGGCGCCTCAATGGGATGTTGTAACACATGCCAAGAAGTTATATTTGTTTATATTTCACTTAATTGGCTATACAATTCGACACATTTTGATCAGTGTAATTAATGATACACAAACCAGTTTTCTACAATTCTGCAGCTCGTTTTTATGGTATAGTGATAATGAAAATATTTCAGTAGCTTCCGGGGCTTATTTTTTTGTTAGATTTATTGGGATTTATTTATTTTATGGGCATTATTGCATTTTCTCAATAAATTTCTGAATTTATTTTGATTTACTTATTATTCGGTGAACATCGGAATTTACTGAATAGTTTTTACATAAAAAGGAGGAAATTCTCTTGCTTTTCAAAATGATCCTAGTCGTGAATCACTAGAAAACTCACCAGGGATTTCGTTTGGGAAGAGTCGACTAGGATGAATATGCTCTATATTATTTGATTGTACTACCTTTGAAATTCGATTATATTTATAAATAGAATCTTACATTTGAAATGTAATAATAGATAAAAAAATTTGAGTGAAAGTAGTTGTACTAAAGTTATCGAAGGGGATGTGGGTTTAGATACCTATGTTAATATACCCACACCCACCCGAGTACTCAAGCATCATAAGTACTCATGAATTCTTGTGACATTTTCGAGCGTGAGTACTTTTTGAGTACTCCTCTAAGAGTTCTTCCACTAGAATTGATTGTTGAAGACGATGTAAAAAATACAAGAATTCGTCAAAAACATGCGAGCTTATAATGCTGTCTATGTTTAATTGTCAAAAACAAGACTTCTGTTTATCTCTCATAAAATGAATATACATTATTCTTTTTGAGAAATAGTACGACGAAGAGTGCGTTTTGTTTTTAACGATTTAAACAATCTCAAAACATTATGTCATCGCAATCTTCATTAAATGATATGGTTACAACAATGAAATTAGTAGAAAAATATTTATATCAAATTGGATGTCCTGTCTTAATCGTCATAGGTACTATAAGTTGTATAATTAATTTAATTGTTTTCAGTCAAAAAAATCTACGAAAAAATCCATGTTCAATCTATTTTATTGCATATAATCTTGCTAATTTTATCTATATTTATTCTTCATTATTATCTTTAACATTAAATATTGGATATAAAATCAATGCTAATATATATCACTTAGCTCTCTGTCGTGTATTTCTTTATACAGTAGCTTTATTCAATAGTTTAAGTTCATTTTATTTAATTTTGGCATCTATTGATCGAATTTTGATAACATCACGAAATGCAATTACACGTCGAAAAAGTACTCGCCGTCTTGCTTATTTATGTATCATTGTAGGAACATTATTTTGGGCATTATTTCATGCTCATCTATTAATTTTCTCGACTATTACACAGATTGCTCCAAATACTTTTCTTTGTTATTATCAACCGGGTATTCATCTTACTTTTATGGGTTATTATTCGATTATTAAAGAAATAAGTGCACTTGTATTATTAACAATATGTGGATTATGGTCAATAAAGAATATTCATAGTCTACATCGTATGAGAATTGTACCTGATTTATCCGTAACTAAAAATATTGTTGATACAAATTCTTCGTCTGGAAAAGATCGACAATTATTTTCTATGTTATTGATGGATATTATTATTTATGCTGTTTTTAGTTTTATTTTTTCTATATTTCTTATGTATCAACAAATAACACAAAATCAAATAAAAACTAGTGATCGAATTCAAATTGAAACCGTTATTCGAGATTTATGTTTATTTAGTGCAGGTATTCCATTTTGTCTTGGTTGTTATACTAATTTATTTGTATCAAAAACATTTCGAAGTGAAGTGAAGAAAATATTTTTTTATTTATTCAAGTTAAACTAATTATTAATTGTATTTTGTTTGTATACGTATTCAATAAATTTCAACATTAATCAGACTATATTGCAATATCTATACAATTTTGTAAGGAAGTAAAAATTGAGTTTATTTATATAAATACTTTTAATCATCTTTGAAGTTAATTAGACTCTCAGATTCATAACTATTTTCTTGACATATAAACTATCTGTTCATGACAATATACTTTTGTCATCCATGATGAGATGTCAGAAACGGATATAAACCTGGAAAACCAATTATTAAACAATGTACATATACTAAAATTTCCAGTTCCATTTTGTTTAGTTTTTATTAATAACTTCAATTGCATGTTTACAACATACTTCGTTTCGTGTGATTATGTTCTATTTTTAAGGCCAGATATAGATAGAGAAAACTCTGAGAGAAATATTTTCGAATTTATCATATATAATAATCGTTGCTCAACAGTATTTTCTTATCAAACGAATACGTTCATCAGCAAAATTTGATGCTAATATACTTGTATTTTTTAGATGTGATTATTGCAAACGAGTCTTTATTTTTTTTTCTTTCTTTCCTTTCATATTTGAATGAAACCTTATATAAATTTTATATTAGTCTTGTGTCATTTTACCTTTCTATTTGCATAATCTCTCACTATTTACGACATGATAATGAAGGAGACCAACAAAAACATTCACGTTCTATGTTAGTTGGAAATAAAAAGGGGTGCGTGTAACAATGACATTATCGTTTGAAATTAATCCTCGTCTTTTAGCTGATATTCGTTATGAACCGAAACAAATACTTGAACCAATCTGTGGCTATGAACAAGAACCATTAGCATCGCTTGAAGAAGCTTGTCAGCCACTTGCGAATATTCTCAGTAAAGAACTCGAACTGTATGTAACTATTGCTAAACTGAATTCGAAAGAACCCAAAGATGGACTTACGCAAGATGAATCAGCATCAATCTATTTGTACACTATGCAATGGGAAAAAACAGAAAATAGTCTGTATGCTCTTTTTAATCAAGCACTTCGTGCAATTGATAGAAGTACACTTAAACCTTGGTTTAAATATATGAAACTATTTTTTACTGCATTCTTCAAGTTACCGTAAGTATTTAATCTGTTAACTTGCAGTAAACTCACACGTAATAAGTTGTAGTTTCACTGAATATCATACCGTATGGCGTGGAGTTCCTGATGATCTTAGCAAACTTTATCAAGATGGTGAAGAGTTAACGTGGTGGTCTTTGAGTTCCACTACATCGTCATTTGATGTTCTACAGTCTCCTATGTATTTGGGTAGAGCAAATATACAAACAATATTTTCAATTGAAACAAAAAATGGAAAATTGATTCGTGCACATTCACATCTTCAAAATGATGATGAAATTCTTCTACTACCAGGAACCTGTCTTAAAGTAATTGGATCATCAAATCCAAGTAATGGAGTTTATATTATTAGTTTACGTGAAATTCCTTCGAATTCCTTGAGACTAGCCAAACCATTTGATCTTGCATCAACGAACGAGCTTCCTCTATCACCACAGTTTTGTAAAGCTGATATTCAACATTTGCTCAACTATATTGATATATTATATCCCAACGGCGAACCCATTAATCTTGAAACCGGACGCGATGAAAATGGAATTCCTTTCTATAGAGATGAAATGTATCACTTTTATGGTTTAGCTGGAACTTGGGCAGAGAATTACGATTATGACTTGATACCAACATATCGAATGTCGCAAAATCCTGAATATATTGCAAAAGCTACCTGGACAGAAATCAAACAAATGTTAACCTGTCTCTGTAGTTCAGGAAAATTTTCGTCTTATACTACCTATGCTCACGCAATCACAGCCGGTTACATACGATTGATACTTCTTCGTATGAAGGAACTTGTTGAACTATAAACTCTTGAAATAAAAATCTAATATAGAAGTTGAGGATGAATATGAGATACAGAGAGTGTGGCTGCGGTCTTTTATTTATTCCACATTTACATTGACACGCTCTAAATATATACATAATATGTTGTTTTTTACACACAGTCATAAATAAACAAAATACAAAGATTAGACCAGATTTCGTTTCAGATATGTTAAAGAAAATTTTGTCTGTGGCATTCTGCTATTGATAGTAGGGTGTCCTTATATGTGCTACAGTTAATTAACATGAATAAAAATAACTTTTTTATGTACATTGTAAATTTTTATTGAGCTGAATGGTATATCTAACAGCAGAAAGCAAAAAAAAGCATATAAGACAGTTGTAGAATTAATAATCATCTTGTTTCATGTAGAAATCAGATGTATATTGCTGTTTGATTTCTCTATTTTTTTTATCCATATCAGAGATTCACTTAAGGACAAGAAGTCAATTTTTTAACATTATATCGTCCCCTATGCCATGTGGAGATACGGTTAAATAATCTCCTGAATAAACACAGTGCGAAATTAAGGCCGGTAAGACCTACGAATATGTAGAATAATCCACTAGATTCGTTTACTCCCACGCGATTATTTGGATTTCTTGACTCGTTATCATAGTTAACATCACAATTTTTCTGTTGAATATATGCTGCAAATCGTCGGTCAATCTCACCATTTATTCTCAGTTCCAATATGTGTGCATCTAAGTCTTGTTTGTAAGGCCATTGCTTTGGTAAAGCCACACCAAAATCTGACCTACCAAATGGTGTACCAGCTAGTTCTAGTTGACAATACTCTTTTTGAATCATATATTCTGCGGTTGGACTATCAGTTAGAGCAACGTCAATATGTCCATCCACGAGTTTTGCAAAGCATTCCTTTGGATGTTTCAAATGATGATAATTCATCGGAATATTATTTGTTACTTCTTTCGTAAAATATTCTCCGTGTTGTGATCGTTCAATAACACCTATACGATTACAACCTATGCTGCCACACATTTTCAAGTCATCGATACTTTGCAGCCATGGTTTTTCACGTTGAGCAGTAAAATTAACAATCAAATTGCTAGTGAAAAGCGCTACTAGTATAATACTCATAAGCCAAACAATAACTGTTTGGATACGACCGTATAAGGTTACGACTTGTAATTCAGAACCTCTTTGTATCAAAGCACCGATAGTTTGATAAAGAGATCTGCCAATTGTCTTTATCCATGATTTATCATAGATATGACTATTATTTTCGCCATGTTCAAAGTTACTGTTCATTTTGCGATGTTCATAGAATGCAATAAGTAGTGCTGACGGAAAATATATGGCACCGACAATTGCCAACCAAAGTGCAAGTGAAAATGGATTCAAAAATGCAAATGGTTCGATTTTTTCCTGTTTACTCTTGCGTACAACCAAACGCATTGTATTAGCATAAATTGAAGCACTAAAATCAATTTTATTTTCACGAGCCGGTGTGATAGCCAAGTCGGCCATAACAATTTCACATGTACGGTTTTTTACACAATCTACTAATTCATCATAGCTAGTCTCATCTGGTGCAACTGTATAAGTAAAATCGAATTCCATTTTTTCGCTCAGTAATGTAAGTAATTCATGAATATATCCTTCATATAAATCCTTTTCATGAATGCCAGGAGATGATCTCTTCATAAAAAATGGTGGTGAAATATAAACAGTAATATTGAGTGTTTTGCCTAAAAAGTATGTATAAGCACAACAATGATTTTAATAAATTAAAACAACATGATTTACAAATTTGATTGATGATATATAATAAAACTTTCTATTTTCCCTAATTCATACAAACTCAAGCCGAGTACTAGACTGAAAATGTTCTGTTCAGTCAATATCTTATTGTTTTGACATAACGTTTCTGAAAGATCTATCTATTGGTTTCTTTCAGGCTATTAAGTTCTATTAACTAAGCTTCCTGTTTAACGTACCTTTTAGAAGTGCATAATCGGTGGGTGCCTCATTCCATTTTCTTGGCCATTGAATAGAGTTTGTTGTATTTATCCATTCAGTTGTACAGTTACGATTAGTACTCAATACAGTACCATTCAATTTTAAAACATCTACAAGGTGAAGTCCACCCATTGATGACTGTATATTGCTGATCACATAATATGCCCCTGTATCATCAACACGATCGGTACTGTTCAAGCCGAACTGCACTCGTCCTGTGAGGCCAATGAAACTCATTGTTTGTAGAATTTTATGAAGTTCACCTTGTTCAGTTAGATTACTAGCGAAGCAGTTGGAAGTGTTCTCAAATGAAAGACATGTTGTAGGATTGTTTTGACAAAGTTGTTGGAATGCCAAAATCAACATCCATGAAGCGTCGAATGCATAGCGTGCATAAATATCCATGTGCGGTTGGTTGTCATGGAATGAGGTTGGGTCATTTTTTTCCCAAATATCAAGAGCTTCATCTAATAAATATGTGCTTGCTGATATGTTAACAGTATCTGTTGGACTTAGTCTTAATATTAACATTCCTATTAGTTGATTTATATGCTCATTGGCAAGAATATTCATTGATGAATTACTTGCTGTCAAAATCCAGAGAAAGGATGGAGCCAGAATATTACGCGCTTCCGCTGCGAATTGTATGATTTGTGTGGTTACATTTGCATTAGCCATAACAATCACAATACGAGATGGACTATCTTCTAGTTGACGTTGTATATTCTCGAATTGATTTACAAATAAATCAAATCGAATTGAACGTGAAATTTCTACTTCATCAGTAAATACTTGAGTAAGCGCCTGAAGTCCGCCTTGTCCATAAGTATCTCCCTGATAGATCACATTTGTTGAATTCCATTTATATTTTTTAAATAATTTCAATAGTACTCTTGCTGTGGTAACATCAGACGGTGGTAATCTGTAGAAGGTTCGATATGCATTGCGATCCGAGAGTTCAGGCTCGGTTGTCGAGTAGCCAACTACAGGCAATCCTACTTTATTGCCTAAACGTGCTACTGTTCTTGCTTCAGTCGAATATTCAGGCCCAACAATTCCGAGAATCTGATATTCACCAATAGAGCGACATGTACGATCGAGTGTTTCAATTACATCACGGCCATTGGTTTCTTCTACATGATAGGCAATCTGTTTTCCATTTATAGTCATATTCCAGCGTTGTGCTAATAAAATTGCAGTCCGAAACATAGCGGGTTCTGCCGATGTTTTAAAATGCCTTGTAGCTTTTAGTACAGTTCGTTGTTCAAGAAACAAGCCCAATAAATAAATGTATCAGCTGTTTTTATTCGAAAATGAAGGCCACTTTGGACACTGTAAATTTTCTTCGTTACACCATCCATCTGATTGTGATTTTTCATCCTTCACTTCCGATGAATTACAATATAACAAGACCAATAGAGTAAAAAATACTGTGGTGAAATGTAATATAGTTGACATCTTCAAAATAACATACGTCTCATTCCCTTTCAATTGCTTTTATATGCTTGAAAAAAACCGAATCAATTCTAAGTGAATATAATTTCTTGATTATTTTCAACAGTGATGAAACTCAATGACTGCATAAGTGTATCAGCATTGACATCGCATTAAACATAGATAAGAAGAGTGTGAAAGAAAATTGGTTCAAAACTTCCAGATTGTGCCCTAAAACACATTTTATATTGCAGGTAAATATTGCCTTATTACGATTTATAGACGTTGACACGTGGAGATTTTTTATTGTCGCTGAAGAATATATGCATATATCGGCGATAAGATAAAACGATAAATTTCTTTCGGCGAAATAAACTAAGCAAAACTTTGTAATAGGATTAAAATACTTTGTTTCACTCCGACCACATGCATTTGTGGCTTGAAAGATTATTTGAAGACATTGTGTGCGTGTAGGTAGAATATATTCACATGTATATTAACACATACACTCTTCAATTAGTAATATCATTATGAAACAAACAAAACATTTCTTTTCAAAATACAAATTTAATCAAAAAATAGAAATACAATACAACATCAAATAAGAATCTCTTATATGTTTGTATAACTTCATTTCATTTATGTTAGTAGTGCTATAACGACATTTGGTCGTCGATTTGTTATTTTCATTAAAGATGTTTTAATCGGATCTGTAAATTTAAATAAAGCAATTAAAATAAATACTAAGGATACATTTACAAATATATAAGCAATACGAAAATGATATTTTGGTGGTTGAGTAAAGAAACTCATGAATATGAAGATAGCATAAGTTAAACCAAATGTTATCAACATTGATACAAGTATAACTATTCGACGTATCATTTTTAATTCTCTTTCTACACGTAATAAAGTATTTGCTGGTGTTACATTTTTACTCATTTCTTTAACATATCGAACTAATTTAAAATAAATCAATATAGTACCATTCATCGGAATTAGGTAAAGTAAAACTACATTATAAACTGTTATGAAAGATAACTCAAGTGACATTTGACACATTTGATCATCGACTTGATAGATGATTCTACCAGTGAATAGATGAGGAAAAACACATATAAAAGCGATAATCCAACTTAAAATAATCAAGAAAATTTGAACTCGTTTTGATTGCCAAAATAAACGAGATGGGTAAACTATTGTGAGATATCGATAAATTGCTTGTAAGAAATAAGAATAGTTCTGCGTAAAACATGCCACATAAGTAATATAACCTCGAAATACACAGAATAGATCTTCATATTGTTGTTGTTTACGATCATTGTCTAATGTAAATATAGCCATCCAAAATAAATCAATTGCAAGAACAAGTTCAGCCAAACATGAATTAGCAATAAGTATCATTGGAACTGTATGACAAGTTTTATCAAATATAATAATAAATAAAAATATGAAGGCAAGTATAATGACCAAGATTAGACAGATAATATTAATAATATCGAAAGGAATAAACCAGGATTGAATATTTGTTGTTGATGAATTATTCGCATACATTATTACTGTTATTATTAATATTTGAGGAAAAGAAAGTATGTTTTATTTAATAACATAAAAATATCATTTCATTCATGTTATACTTGATCGTCTCTTTAGTAATGAAACAACATTTTTTAATTATTAGGTATTCAACAGAGTTGTGTCGTTAATTTCACTACCTTTCAATTATATGTGCATCATTACTATCTATAGCAGAAAGTATGGAGTATATATATATGTAAACTAATTATAATGTCTGAGCTGAAAAATAAAAATAAAACTTTTGAAATTAATGACAAAACTCTGTTGAATGCCTACTAATAAATCAAATGATGATGTGCTGAACAAGGATTTGTCTAATGACTCACGAACGCTTCCGCGCATTGCACCGATGCATAAACGAAGAATGAATTTTTTCTCTCTATAAGTAATTAATTATTCTTTCAAGCTTTTCAAATAATTGTTTATAAAAAAATATACATGTGAATCAAGAATAATAGAAGTACAGAAAACGACAAGAGATAAATAACGTTGAAATCTTTTGCCATTTCTTTTATGTGATCATCAATTTTTAGGCAAATTTTTTCCTTTTACTATGTGTTGATGCTCTAGCTAGCATTTGAGTTCCACATACAATTATATTTTTGTATTTCCTTAGTGTTTTTCATTTAAGAAGTTATTGAAATGATGTATATGTTCAGATATATTTTATTTACTTATCTTAATTTTATTTCAACTGATTCCATAATATAAAAATAGAATATCTTCCTTTTATTTATCTAAATGAGTTCATTTGATCTAATAGCACGAAGACAGAAAAATAAATTACAAAGTTTGAAAGAATAGCTAATATTTTTTCTATAGATGAATTATTGTCATCCATCATTTACGAAAGAGAAAATATCTTGTGATTTTTTTTTAAATGAGATTCACTCCGTGACTTATTCATAAGGGCTCTTTTCAGTTTGAATATTAACCTAATAAAGAATCTTATTGAAAAGTTTATTACGGATGTCATTATATATTTTCTAGCAGTAATTAGAAATTAGAAATATGTACTTCAGTACTTGTTTTTTTTCTAAATACTATAAATAGATAAATGAGACGAGTTCGTATTAAATGTACCTAGTCAGATAAGCAACAAAAAATACCGCGCAAAAGTGCGTTCAAAACGTCTTAAAGCTTTTTAAAAAAAAGGTATATTCGTTCAAGATGGGTTTAGGTATTTTATTCATTAGATTTCTCCGGGTTTACTGTAAAAATATGAAAAGTAAAAATTTCGAAAAAGGACGTGGTAGGTAGCGCTATTTTTACTTTCCATGTTTTTATAGTAAACCTTTTTCCGTTGATGGGATGTTTTTTTACTACGAAGTATACGAAAGTATTCTTGGTCTTTTTTCAAAAATACATGTGCCGTTAAGTTATAGCAAAACATACATATATTGTTTATCGTATTACAATACATATCACTGAATTACGTGTATCAAATTGAAAGTTTCTAATACTTTGATATATTCAAGGTTTTACTTCATTGCATACTCAAAAAATTTTCTTCGTGCAGAACGAACGAATGAAAGCAAAAGTACACGTTGTTAAAATGTTATTTATCAATACTGAGCCAAATGTATGAGAAAAAAGGAAGTATACAGACAAATGAGAGGTATTACTATTCGATATTTTTTTTTATCATCAGGTAGATTTTTATTGTGCTTTTTGTTTTGATGTAATGAAAAATAACATTACCGTGATGTATTACATTAAAACACATTTTTTTAAATCAATTTGACTCAGGTAATATTTTAGTTTAAATTATTAAATCTAACGACGTCCTTTCAGAATTTTTTCTTCTGTTCATTTATTGTCATAAGACATCGTCGATAGTATTCTTACGGAGATAATAAACAAAGTAAATAAAAATCTCTTCACTTTTGATGTAATTAGTCAAATATTAAAAAAATATTCTTTTTTTATTATGAAAAATGTAGTGAGTTATTTATTTTCTAAAACAATTCTATGAAAATTATTAATATTTTGTGTAAAATAAAATCTTATATAAAATTTAAAAGAGTATGAAGTTTTTCATTAACTGAATTTCTAAATATAGCCAAATATGTTGCAGTATCACGCGAATTGTATTCATTTGACATTGTTTGAATATAATTTTCACCATAATATAAATATTGTGAATAATTATATAATACTGTAAGTAATATTGGAAATGTATATATACTAAGTGCAATAGTATTCAAGGTAAATGCAATTCTATAATATGGTTGCAACAGGCTTCTCGGTAAATATAAACAACATAAAATTTTAACTCCGGGCATTGCTGCGAATATATATACCATAAAAAAATATATAGCAGACCAGAGAGCAATATAGATTATAATCATAAACATATAGGCAAATGCCATTGGTAAAATATGTGTAAATACGTATGGTAACATGAGAGCACCAGGAAACAGCCATGTAATACAATATAAAAACATGATGAAAATAGAGGACAAGTTCTTAAAGGATAATCTCTTTTCTATTCGTGGATTTTTTTTACGTAGTATTTGTGCTATTAATGCTATAGTTTTGACGTAAAAAACGAAACAAAAATTATAGTATGATACAAATATGTAATTATATAATCTATATCCAAATGCATTGTAACAATTCCATAGAGTTGCATCTTTAGCTGACATACATGATGATTGAATATAGCAATACCAAATACTATGAACAAGTGGAGGGAAACCATGAATAATATACTCAATGAAACTAAATTTTATTTTTCGAAAAAATTTCTTCTCCGTTCTGTTAGTTTTTTCTACATGTAGTGACAGCTCTCGAACTAATTCCTCTTTAATTGCATGCAAGTGCTGGTGTGGATGGTTTTCAGAAAACTCTTCTAACTTCTCTGATACTTCTTCCAATGTATGTACCTGCATCTTCAGTGCCCACCGCATGAAACCAATTTCTAATGTTGTTAAATATACTCCATATTTACAAAGGTTCAACGTTCGGGCAAATAGTTGAAGTGCAAGAATTTGCAAAACCATTATCCAATACGGCTGAATATTCATATGATGTTGGTGAAGTGTGTATAACAATGGATTTGCGTTTTGATCAAGTATTGGTATAGGACCAGTTGTACCGTTTCTGTTCATTGTGATTTGTTATGTGTTACTTATAATGCTTAATACTAAATATAAAAATAAAAACGTAAAAAATATTTTCTGTATATATACTAGCAGCAGACGAATTAGTAATTACTCAAGCCGACATTTTTATACGTCATTTTCGAAAAACGGAAATACGTTTTTTTTATAACGGGGAAAAAACCAACGTTTGCATTTTGTTTTCTTTCTGTATGTTGACGATGATAGAAAAAAAGTGATACTCACCTTTTTTCGGGTTATTTTATTCGTTATAAGAACATAAATAAAGTGGAGGAAGAAAGTTTAGTACAACAGTATTTTTGATTTTTTTTTCAAAGAAGATTGGTAGTTGGATC